GGTAGATTACCGTAGTGCAAATGCAGCCGACGTTGCTAGGGTTTACGGATGTCAGAAGTTTCGAACTTGGACTACGCCATGCCCTTGTACCCGCACACCGCCCCATGCCTTTGATACGCACGGGCTTTAAGAGAAGTATCCATAAAACTTGGTACCCCTGTTGTCCCTTCTACCGGTCATAGGCTCAGTGCTACTTTCAGTGCGCAGCGCTTTGGTTGGAGTTGCAGAGAAGAGGGCGGTTGTCAGCTACCGGTAACAGAAACGGTAGGTACTTACACGTTGGGATGTTCGAACGGGCACTTCAGATCGTACGTCCTGCAAGAGGCTATAGGTAGGACGCGATGATACATTGATAGACCTGAACATTCTGCTGCGCTTGCCTTCAACATTTCAAATGCGAATGCCAATGCCAATGGCATTGGGTTTGGCAGCTTTGTTGCATGTTCCTTGTTCCTCCCACCCTTCTTTTGTAGCTTCACATTTCTCAGGTTTTCTCTGCTCCTGAGCCTCTTCTTATGTCTTCCTCTTGATTTCAGCGCTCTCGCACCCTGCGCGAGTGCCCGCAGGATTGGTAACCCATAAGTTGCGCTCTGCCCCATCTCAAACAAGGGGCATGTCAGCTGCATACCTGGAGCACTGACATTATCTGCCAGAACCAGTCCCAGGCACGCGTAATCCTCATGGCTGCGGCTGCGCAGCTGCCGCAGTTGCGCTTGTATTCTGTAGGCAACGTGCAAAGGAGCAGAAGCAAGGTGCACGCCCAAGCAGAGCTGACACCGCGACCCTGCAAGCAATGCTGTTGGGCAAGCAGACAGTCTTTGTTCCTAAGTGGTGCCACCGGCGGGCTGAGACTGACCCCCGCGCCGATACAGACCCCGAAGCCTGCCACTAACAAGGGGCAATGCAGAGCGCTTGCAGACACAAATGCAGTTGCGGGGGCGCTTGCTGGGTGGGTGCAGGCTCCTTTGTACAAAATTGCTCTCTGCTGATTTTACATGTGCAAAACTTAAGTGGAACTGCAAGACAATAGCTGCGCATTCACAGCATTGCAGTCGAGGCCGGTGCCCTTTCTGGAACCTGCACACTGCTATCATCTTCATGCCCAGTCCGATCATGAAGATCAAAAAACACAGGGCGTTGCTTTTCAGTCCCCCTCCCCCCTTGCAATGTTGCGCAGTTTATCCTCCATGGCCCCCTTGGCATTCATTGAAGGCGAGCACTTGGCGCGGGGGGCAGTGGCTGCCAGCGTGAGTGCCTGGTACCTGACCGCCAAGCCGGGGGCCCTGCAGGGACTGCTGGACATTGTGGCAGCACCAGCCTCAGAGCGGCTCTTCAAGTAAGGCACCCGCCACAGAGATCTCATCATCTCCAGAAACGGTGCACCAAGCTTCATACATCTCTTAATATGTACTCCTAGAAGGGGCTACCAGCCTAGTTGACCTTTTCACCATACTCAAGAATGCTGCATCGCCGCATTACCCCCTTCTTCTGTCCTCTTGTTTGTCTGCATCATGTTTTGGCTGGTGTATTGGCTCACGGCAGCGCTGCCGTGTGCTGCAGGTCATTTGAGCCCACTGCCGTGCGAGTGGGCAAGCAGCTGGGGGAGGGCAGCTTTGGCGTGGTCTACAAGGGGTGAGCCACACAAGCATGCCAACGGCAGGCGTCCCGCTGTGCAATGGCAGTCACTCGCTTGGATAATGCCCCATCTCCTCTCAGACTGTTCCGCAGTTTACCAGAATGACCTGTCCAGTACTGCAGTTGGAATAAGAGCACATTAGCCCCGACCCCCATTGAGTACGGTCCTGTTCCAGAAGTGCAAGCCTGCTTTTGGTAAGCCTCAACAGGTTCCAGTAGATAGTTCCTCAGCATTGCCCAGCTGTACGAAAGCGACAGCAGCTTCTGAACCAAAGTGGCTATTCTTGGTCCGAGCGGGCGAAGCCCATGTGTCTAGACCCCCCTCAGTGTCTGTGTCACACTGACTATCCTGGACATTGGCGGCTGGTCTATGATGACCTGTAATATCCACGGGAGAACCTGAATCGTCAGGCTTTGTGGCCACTAATACAACCAGTGATAGTGTTGCCCTGGTGCATGAAGGTATGTCCCACAGGGGGTCTTAGATCCCCATTGACTGACATGCTTCACATGGTTGGAGACAAGGTCCTGTATTTGAGGATCTTGTTTGGCCCCGTTCAGGTTCATCAAGGACCCGACCATCCGAGGTGACGGCCCAGGTGTGCCGGTGGTGCTGAAGAAGGTGAAGGCCAAGGTCTCGGGCGCAGAAGAAATGCGCGCATCAGAGCTCTACTTCAACCAGCGCCTGCAGCGCACCGCCCCCGGCAGCTGCGCTGAGTTCCTAGGGACCATCAACGTGGAGAAGAGCACACAGAAGAGGCGCCTCAGCTCCAAGCTCAGCGAGGTCAGCACCCAGGGACAGGCTGACTACGAATCCCCGAAACAGGCTGATTTCTCTGGTCCCTACAGCAGTGTACGACTCCACTTCGGTTCCCTGGGAAAGTCTGTTCTGAGCAACTGCGTGCGTGCGTCAGCCTGAGCCACTATTTCTCCTGACTTCCCCAGGGCCTGTGGCTGGTGTGGCGGTATCAAGGGGCGTCCTCGCTAGAGTGGTTCTTGCGGCGGCGTGACGCATTGCCACTGCTGGCGGGGGCTGTGTTGGGTGACAGTGCGATGCAGGTGCGGAACAGCCCCGAGGACCTGCTGCAGCGCGACTGCGCCGTGGTGCAGGCCGTGATGCGCAACCTGCTGGACAGCCTGCAAGCCATTCATGCCACAGGTGGGGCCCAACTATCCCTTTCACAAGAAATGCAGTGGGCAGACACGGCTCCGAGGAGGCTGCAGTGGTGTGCTTGAGAATGCTCTAACTTAGATCAGCATCAGTATGGTGGGCCTGGTTCGAAAGATAAGGGCGACAGAAATTGGTTCCATCAAGTGCTGACAAAAGTGTGTCATCAGATTGTGCACACTTTGCGGCTTGGTTGCAGTCTTAATCGCAGGAATCACGCATTTGGGCATGAGGATGTCACACGAGGCGTTTGGGATTCAATAACGTTTCTCGTCTCCAATCTGATTCGGATTGTTGACTGCGTTTAGGCGTGGTGCACCGCGACGTGAAGCCCCTGAACCTGGTGCTGGACGAGGAGATGCGCAGCTTCAAGCTCATCGACCTGGGCGCCTGCGTGGACCTGCGCTCGGGATACAACTTCGTAAGTTCCGCCCCGACACTGTCCCTTTTCGTTTCCACAAGATGGTGGATATCAAAGCGTTCAACCATATGTCTACTTTGTCCCAGTTCTAAGTTGTGCTTTCACTCCGGCTCCATCCAGCGGTGTTACTCTGCACCTTGTGAATGCACAGCTGGAAAAGCTATCGTAAGTAGCTGACGTGACTTCTCTCCGGTAACTGCGTGCAGGTTCCGGACGAGACGATCATGGACCCGGTGTACTGCGCCCCCGAGCAGTACGTGTTGCCCATCAGCATGCCGGACGCGCCGCCCGGCCCGCTCATGTCGCTGCTGGCCCCGCTGCTGTTCCTGGCACACGCCCCCGACAAGTTCGACCTCTTCTCAGCGGGGCTCGTGCTCGTGCAGCTGGCGGTGCCCTCCCTCCGCTCCGACAGGAACCTGGTGAGCCACCCCGGCCGGCCGCTGTGGACAAGCTGGGGCATTGCTTCCGTACAGAGGTTGACTCTGGGATTGGCAGACCCTGGAGCTCGGCCGCTTTTGTCCCCCCTTCGCCTTCGGATGCCGGCCTGGTCGTCATGCCTTCTCGTGATCGCTCAGTGGTGTGTCATTCCTGTGCTGCGGCAGCTGTGTGGCGGCAAAGGGCGGCTCTGGGTTTTCCACGGGGCCTGCCCGTCGGCTGAGCTGGCTGCTTTGCTTTGCGTGCAGGCCCTGTTCAATGAGCAGCTGGCCGACACCGGGTTCGACCTGGACCTCTGGCGCGCTTCCAGCCTCACCTTCCCCGAGGCAGAGCTCCAGATCCTTGATGCCAACGGTGAGCACAACACGCTGCTCGCAGCATGTGCAGATATCCATCGAGCTCTGCACCAGACCCTAAGATGCAACCGCAAAGGGTTTCCGTTTTTCAAGAGTCAGAGTGGTGAAGTATGGAAAGTAGACTTACTCGGATGCGTCTGGTACCGCAAGTACAACAGAGAACTTCGTTGCTGGGCTTCGGAACTTATGAGTCCCTTCAGGAAAGCCTCGATCCATCTCAAAGCGCAGCCTGAGTTTGAGTCTCTCTTTTCGGTCTTATTTCCGAAGGGAGACGCCCTGGGGAAGAACACCGAGTGTTTGGCGTAAGTGCAGTAGTCGCCGCGCGTTAATGCCGGGCTGAAAAGCCCCGTGGGCCGGTTCTTGAGGATCTCTTTCTGAAAACACCGCCACCTTCACCCCTCGCCGCCTCCTTTCTCCAGACGGCGCGGCGTGGGACCTGGCTCGCCTGCTGCTGCAGCCGCGCGAGGGCCTGCGGTGCCGGCGGCCCACAGCAGAGGCGGCGCTGGGCCACCGCTTCCTGACTGCGTCCCTGCAGTGGCAGACGGAGAAGCGGTCCGGCTCCGCCAAGGGCCGCAGCAAGAGCATGCGCAGGGCGGGCAAGAGCAACACGCGGGAGCTCGAGCCGGCATTCGCGCCCACAGGGGCCTTCCGCTTTGCGCTGCCGTTTGGGATCGGGAGCGACGCGGAAGAAGAGTCCGAGCCTGAGGAGGAGGAGGCCCCCAGGCGGCGCCGGCCGCTCATCCCGTTCTTTGGCCGGCTGCGGAACGACGCGGGTGACGAGGCGCAGGAGGTGGAGAACGGCGGGGCCAGCTTCGACCGCAAGGTCAAGCTCAAGGCGGCGCCGCAGGGGGCGCAGTCCGCAGTCACGTGGAGCGCCCTCCTGCCGCTGGGCCGTCGCTTGGGCGCATCCGCGGAGCCGCAGCCGGCAACCGCTGCAGCCGAGACCGGCTCGGACCGTCTCCTGGGGCTCCGGCGCCTCGTGGGGCTGGACTCGCCGTCAACAGGGGTTCCGGTCGTGCAGATCCAGAAGAACGAGGGCGAGGAGTTCCCGCACGTGGCCGCACTGGCCGCGCTGCTGGGGCAGACGGCCCTGGCCGGGCCCGCGGCAGCAGCAGGGGAAGGGCTCGCACCGTGGCGGGACACGCAGGAGCTGGTGGACCTGGGGCGCGCGTCCGCACAGGGACTGGCCAGCAACGCGGGGCCAATGGCAGCCGCCGGGGGCGTTCTTGCGGGCGTGGGCTGGCTGGTGAGTGGGAAGAGCCCTGCGCGAACGTCTGGCCTCATGGACCGGCGGCATTTTGTGAACTGCATGTCTGTGGTTGACTCAGACTGGGCTTCGAGCTCCGCCTTCTCCCCGGCTGCTGACCGCGCTGCCCGGCCGCCCGTGCTCGTGCAGGGGCTGACGTTCGTGAACAGCAGCGTGGAGAGCGGCATCTGGAGCGTCTCGGACCTGGCCGACGCGCTAGGCGCGGCCGGCCTGCTGGGGGTCGTCTACCGCTATGTCCTCAAGTGAGACCCCCGAGCCGACGGCCCTGGCAGCAAACCAAGATCTCCGTTTTTGTGCTAGTGAAGTTTTTAAGGAGGATCTTGATTCGGGCTTTCTATCTTACGGGCGACTTCGGACTGGCGTATCCCTGTCTTAGCTGGCGCCTAGCGATGGTACCCTCGAGTAGCGCGTTCTGCTTCCATTCAAAAGATTTACGATCAACCTGGCGGCCGCTAGTTCTGCATCTTCTCCAGAAGCAGACGCAGGATCTCTTCTGTCTCGGATCACAGCAGCCCGTGCAACGACCTCTACATGGCTATCTTCCCTGCAACTCAGGTTCGTTTTTGGCCGTATCACCCCTGTGGATGCGTCCATGCTTATACTCCCTGACTCGCTCTCACCCCCTGCCCCTGTCGCTCTCCCGCAGGCCGGGCCTGACCGCCTCCCCCGTGGCCCTTCGGCCGGCCGTTCCTGCGGCTCCTCCCTCTCCCGCGCAGCCGTCGCTGCCGCTGTACGCGCGCATGCAGAAGAAGGTGGGCAGCATCCTGGAGCGGGCGGGGCTGAACCGCGCGGGCGGCATGACGCTGAGCTACACCAAGTGGCTCGTCAAGCAGGCCAAGCAGGGCGGCGGCAACAAGAAGGGCGGCCAGAGCTCGCGAGGTACGGGAGCACACATTAAAGGGTTGCGGGCGAAATCCCTGCTAAGTTGCGACACGGTTGAGCGCCTCTACATCTTGCAGCTCTCGGTGCTGTCGAACAGCGTCCTGTGCTGGGGTCGAAATTCCACATTTCTGCCCCGTCTTGGCTTGCCCCCGCCCGTTGCTTAGTCTCTGGTGCTGACAACCGTCGGGGCACTGCAATCCCCACTGGTGTTGCTTTCAAGAATGCACCGGCTCTAGGGCGGGCTCGCTTCTCCTTCAGTCTGTTATCGGCAACTTTGCTGTGCGCAGGGTTGGTGCGGTCGTTGCGGGAGATGGAGCAGCAGCTGGCCAACCTGGAGGCGGCAGCACGCGACGGGCAGGAGTTCGACCCGCGGCAGAAGGAGCTGCTCGCGCGTGTGGAGGCGCTGCTGCAGGAGACGGCCGGGCAGGGCAGGCAGGGCGGCCGGTGACACGCGGGGCGAGCGGGGGACCGTGTACAGCCGGAAGAAACACGGGGAGGGACGGCCAGCACCAAGGCCACCACCCTAGCAGGAAATGATTTGGAAACATGGTTCGTAGCTGCGCAGCAATGGTAGGTGTACATGTGCAGAAGTTAGCAGAGCATTAGGGTAGCGCACTAGGGATAGGGCTTGCTTTTGTCAGCTATCAGCGTAAAGGACTGCGTGTTGCTGGACTGCGTGCCTAAAAATAGGCAATGTGCTGCTGGGGGCTCGAGTGCCGATGCATGAAGACGAGCTCTCCTAGAGTCGCTGAATAAATCTCACCGACTAGCTGGTGGGACAATCGTCAAGCAAAGATTAGAGAGAGGTAAGAGGAAGGCGAATGGTAGACCTTCGTATTGGTGCACATTGGAGTCTAGGTCGTACGAAGTGATGCAGATACATCTGTTCATATAGTTTCGGTTTAAGTCGAATTGTGAATGTACGCTTTCAGAAGGAGGTAGACTCGATCAGTGGCCGGCCATTCGCGTGAACAAGATATGCGGCCGACTGGCAGGGCCGCGCTGCATGGCACAGCCGATCCTCCTAAATCAGACCGGCTCTTCACGAAAGTGGATGTACGTCAGGAAAATTTCACAAAACGTGCAAAATGTGCAATTTACCATACAGTACGAACTTACAAGGACATTGAACTACTGGTTGGAGTACATCATCCTGCAGGATGATGCATACTGACGTTGATGTGTTAACGTGTGTTGTTGATGTGTGCTGACGTTCATGTGTGACGATCCCATGCCCCGCCGCCAATTTCGCTCCAGGACTTTTCATGTTTTCGCGATCATGCATGCATAGACGATTGAGAGTACGAGCCATGGGCCAGCTATAGGCTTTCTCTACATGAGTGTAGGTCAAGCTGCCGAGCGTCATATGGTGCGTACCATGCAGTGCTTTATGATTCTATGTGTGTGTGTATGCATTACGATCTGGCAGCTGACGACTATTACGGAATAGGTTTGCGCATTGCAATCTGCCAAACTTTGCGGTCGCTTGGATTGCACGCGCACTGATTCCGAGAGGCATACGAGGCCGGCTGCGCTGGTCAGCCGGCTTTGCAACAGAAAGATCGTCTCGAGATTGCATGCTTGTTAGTGGTGAGTGACCAAGCTGCATCACAATGCATGCAGGCTAGTTTCACGTATAATTGTCTTTATTTTATTGCACCACAACGCTATCTCGTCAGTCCACGTGAGCTGTGCACCTGATCGCGAGGTTTGCCAGGCTTTACAACCTAAACTCTCTAAGTATTTTTGTCGCGCGCGCTTCCTCAATCGCCCCAAAAATTCCATGGCCGCGGCTGTCGCCCCCGCGAATGATCACCGCGCGGCGGTGAGGTACGCCCCGTCCACGGTGTACTCGGCGCCCATGACGAAGGCGGCGTCGTCGCTGGCCAGGAAGGCGATGACGTTGGCCACCTCCTCGGGGCGGCCCAGGCGGCCCGTCGGCTGCTTCTCGATGATGCTGGCGAGCACCTCCTCCGGGTTGGGCCGCTGGTGCACCGCGTCGTCCAGGCCCGCCGTGTGGATCACCCCGGGCACCACCGCGTTCACCCGGATGTTGTCCTTCAGCAAACTCACCGACGCGCCGCGCGTCAGCGACGACACGCCGCCCTTGGCCGCGTGGTAGGCGGCGAAGCCGGCGGAGCCGACGTGAGCGTACGCGGAGCTGCGACGAGAAGAACGAATCTGTCAGCGACTACGAAGGACAGAAAGGGATCCGTTCTCGACTTGGACACAGCGATTGCCAGAAAGCTGGGTCCCCATATGCTTAAGTGGCCACATGAAAGGGCATTTGTCTACACGATTCTTCGTCTAACTTGACATTTCGTCACAGTCGATTCAGAAGGGCAACGTAAGTGTGAGAGTCCGTTCCACTGTTGCAAGCTTGGCCAAGAAGCGGCAAAAGGCCGACCACGGGAAGTATGATGAAAGCAGTACGGGTTTCCTCCCGTTCTCACCTGGTGTTGACGATGGCGCCGCCCCCCCGCTTCTTCATGTACGGCACCGCCAGCTTGATCCCCCGGAAGACGGACACCAGGTTGATGTCCAGCATCTTCCAAAACTCCTCCTCCGACGTGTCGACCACCGACTTTATACTCTGCGGGACGAAGCAAGACCGGGTAAGAGGTGGTGGATAGAAGAGCCTCGAAAGGGAGGCAAACGACTCAGCCTGAGCTAGGACTCTTCGTGGGCAACGGTGGCGCATTGTCGTCCCGAAATACTATTCTTTGCAACGAGTCCTGGCTGGACGGGCTTTCCAGATCGGTGCACGAAGCTCCGCCCCTTTTGAAGCTCTCAAACTGAACGCAGCTTTTAGCAGCGGGGACGTCCCTGCACAAGTGCCGCCAGCGTTCGGCCGTCGACCTTGTTTCGCAGGCACCAACCTTTGTAAGAGCTTCCATTGTACACGCAAGCGGTACCATATGTAAATGTAGGTTTCGTACTTGCAGCCATCTTGCAATCCTTGCAGATTTCCTGAAGCGCCGCGATCTTGGCCGAAGGCATTGTTTCAAGGCCATTTGGACGCCTCGGTCACAATCGGGCTTCCACCTTATCATAAAGACGAGGCGTCTATACAAACATAATCATCTTGCGGGAGCCTGGGACAACCAGTGGCGGAGCACTCACCCTCATGCCCGCATTGTTGCACATGATGTCCACGCCCCCAAAGGTCTTCTCTGCTGCTGCCAAAGCCGCTTCAATGTCGTCCATCTTGGAGACATCACACCTGCCGAAGGAACAGAATGAGAGAGATATCGGGCTTGCTCAAGTGATTCTACAAATCTTCGCTGGCCGTCTGACAATGTCAAGGGCATACCGTTTCCAAGGGAGTTCAATTACACAACCTTCCGATGGGTAGCCGAGTGGGGCCAAACTTTGACCTTGACTTTCCAACTCTTCAATCAATCGGCGGAGTTGCGCCTGCAAGGTCAAAGCCGTTATGGATGATAGGATCTGCGGTCTTTTGAGTGTTCAAGTACGGGTGCGTGGCTTACACAAGGACAGCCACTCGAAGTCCCAACAACGACTGGACATTTGGTTAGTGCTCATCTCAAAGAGAAGTTGCAGAACAAGACTGCAATTGTCGTCCAGGTTGATATTGAGAGTCATCGATGAGCTCGGACAAGTGCACGTGACTAAATGTGTTTTGGATGCCAGTTCCCGGCGATTCTACAACCGTCATAAACGTGCAAGAAGAGCGGGCCCAGCACATTCCGTTTGCAGCAAAACCAGCTGGTTTCTGCCCAGCTACAATGACTGCACTTGCTTCCCGTCCCTTCGATCACACGCCCCACTGGGCATCTGAGCCTGGACTGACCTGACGGCCAGTGCCACTTGGCTGCCCCCTGCGTTGAGCTCGTCGGCCAGCTTCTCAGCTGCAGACAGGTCGATATCCGCGATAACGACACTGGCCCCCTCCGCCACAAACTTGCGGCACGTCATCTCACCGATGCCGCTTGCAGCTCCTGCACAACCGAGCAGATGTCATGAGCACGTCGCGAACAAGAGTAGATGCCCTGTGATAAGGAAGTCAGCTTGGTCGAGGTGGAGCCAAAATCTCTGTGGTGTGCATTCTGGCCATCAGAAACTACAGGATTGCATGGCAAGCAGATACCAGAACCCGTATCTCGGTGAGGGATTGTCTAAGGAGATCTTGCCAGCGGGAAACGGAGGGGCTGTTGGACGAAGTGTCCAAAGACCGAACCCGCTGCCGCTGGGGTCAGATGATGCGTGTCTCCTTGGACTCCATGGCATGGCACGCCCTTGACTGGCACAACAACTGACCTCCCACACTTGAAAACTCAGATGGTTGGGACTGTGCCTCGGAAGCTAGCCAAGAACGATGTAAACCTTTGGGATAGAGAACTTCAGGAAAAGCTGGCAACATGCGTGTTTGGCAATACACATTGGCTGGTTCCACCCACTTCTCATCGCACTTCACTGATATGGGAAGATCTGCTACAGTTGCTGGCGGTAAACACACCAGCTGATCTCCTATCCAATGATGAGCACTGGCGCCGACAGAAAGGTCCTATCATGATCCAAGTTCACTGGGGGCTGCCAGTTGTGTGTCTGAGTCAAGCGGTGCTGAGTGTTGTTTGTTGCTAGATAGAGCGACAACGTTAAGATTCTGCAAGTACACCGTCCACAGTGTGGATCATGGTTCTCCGCTCGAAGCGCCACCAGCTAACCGCATTCTGTGCTAATGACCAGGACGTGGTTGAAGCAAACATGCTGAACAGTCCACAAGCCCTCCACATCAATGAAGATTTGGGACAACAGGGCTGGATCTAAACAAGCTGGCCGCCTTTGCCTGTGGCAGCATTGCAATGCTTACAGCAGACGAACAGGGAGACTCGAGTGGCCCAGCCAGTAATCTCGGTAAGGACAGAGGTGAATATGCACACCGTGCTGCTCACGTATAGTGGTGTGTCAGCTTGTTTGCATGCTTCTTTACCCTGCCACTGCTGCTGTCAGAAAGAAGATGCAAGCATTGAGGGTCGGTTGGATCCGCTGCGTACAGCTGCTCCCTCGCTCACCTGTGACCACCCCAACTTTCCCTGCCAGCTTCCCTGGACGCTGAAAGTCAGACGCCGCCATTTTGGAGAGTCCCAAGTGCAATGCTGAGCCAATTCGACCGCAACACAATCTGGAGCGAGTGTGGTGGATGAGTTGACGGTGCGCACTGTAAAATGTTGGACGAGGTTGCAGGAGTACTGTATCCTAGTGCGCGACCTCAATTACGAGCTGTGCCACCGAGAATCGAGGTGAACGAAGAACGGAATCGCCCCAACTGGAGGAACGGTACCAAGCTGCGCTTGTCACATTGTGCATTGTGGATTGTGTACGTGGTGCCTGGGACAGTACCCAATACTGGTCGGTAGAATGTCTATGTGGCAAGGATGTGACTGGATTCTGGAATCTGGACGACCGGTAGTCCATTGACTGGATTTGCCGACAAGAAGCGACAGGAAGCAGTTATGACTGCTGCGCATGCAAGCAGTCTACGTAGGCTTGGGATCCTTAATCGACGGTCATGCGATCTCCAATGCGGTCACAGAGCTTTCGCATCCCGCCACGTTTCACAGCGTTGTGCAGCTAATGCCAGTGCAAGACGTACCGGGCCTAGGTACCTACCTATCATCTCCCTTCTATTCCTAGGTACTCAGGTACCGGTAGCCTGGTATGATTCGGCCTGCCTTCAAAGTTCAGAGTCACGAATCAGCAACCGGTCATCATGCAGTGGATCAGATCCTTCTTCCTCCTCGATCTTGCAACCATCTTTTCTTACCGAATCTGTACATGAATTGTGACAGCAACTGAAAGGGGGCGCTGTGGCCCTGGGTCAGCAAAGGGGGCACCGAAGTTGCTCATCGCCATTTCCTCCCAAAACTTAGAAGGGAACCAGTCTGACCGGTCTTGGCTTTCATGGTTGTAGTAACAATATACCGGTAGATGTGCTCTTTGAGTAGCTTGAGCTGAGGTCCTGCCAGTAGGGGGCTAGTAGGACTTCGGTACTCGGCTAACATGGCCTGGCATTGGCAGTGTCGCTAGCGCTGTGAATTTTATAAGTTAGTGCTAGTGCTAGTGCACCTGTGAGTATTGCGAGCAGGGTCGCGTATTCCGCTTGAGTAATAGTGAAAGCAATCTTCAGATGGGGCAGCGCTGCTTACCTTGGGGTTTTGACTTGACGCGACGATCGCTAATCCTTGTAAACCTTGCTTCTATCGTGGAAAAAGCAGATGAAGTCCTTCTGCCAGCAGGTATGGCTCCTCTGTCAAGCCTTGATTTCAAGTGAAATGCAAGAAAAAGTAATGTCAACCTTTTAGCTTCCTACTTCAATTTCGTTCTGTGGTCATATGGAGAGTCATAGCGCAGGCTTCCGTGCTCAAGTTTGAATTTGGGTACAACATGTTGACCTTCTACGCAAGACAGAGTATCCATCTTCATTTATTTTTAAATATAAAGGGCAGGCACCAGATTTTGCAGAAGCTGTGCACAATTGGTTATAGGTTTCAAAATTGCTGTCACTAAACGAGGTACGCCCGGCACTGTTGAATGCAGTCTTCTTTGAAGTTGGCCGCGCCTTTGGCATCTCCCCCGCAGCACTCGGGACCCTGACCTTTGCGAGAGGGATCATCCAGGTATGTATGCTCCACCGTAGTTGGGACCCAGTAAGGCAGCTGTGGAAGAATTCCTTTGAATCATCAAACTACCTTCCAAGCTCCCCTCCGCTTTCTAAGATGAAGTGGTGGTAAAGCAGGTCCTTGGGGCATGGGCATGGGCATGGGCATGGGCATGGCACAAAGCCATTGCAAGCAGGTCAAAAGGATCACGATATCTCCATTTTACAAAGATCAAGGACACGGGTGGTTTCAGACTACTTGCTGCTTGTATCCTGCGGATGCTAGAAGGTGTAAGCCAGAGGCAAGTCCCTGCCCAAGCATCCCTGCGCTGTACGCCCAGGCTGCTGACGGAGACCTGCGTGCATTGTCAGTCGGCGTGCTCCCCGCTTGCTGCGTACGTGGCGCAGCACCACGACCGCACGCTCATCATTGCGGTGTCCGCTGTGTGGTGGGGGGCAGCCACTGTGGCGGTGGGGCTGAGCCGCAGCTACTGGCAGCTGGCAGTCGCGCGGGCGCTCAACGGGGTGGGCCTCGCGGTGGTGCTGCCGTCCATCCAGTCGTTCGTGGCCGATGCGCACGCAGCGGAGCACCGCGGCTCCGGCTTTGGCTGGCTGCAGTTCACCAACTATTCAGGTGGGCGACGCAAAGCTCCGTGGCTTCGTTGGCATTGTTTCCTCATAAAAAAGGCAAGGCTTTTGGATGAGCATTCGCAAGCTGACCCTGATTGAGATGTGGAACCCTGTGTTGACCCACCGCAAATTCGTTGAGAACCGCGTTTACCAAGATCGAAGCCGTTTTTAAAGACTGCTAAGATTTGTCTGGGCCACTGGGCAATTGAGCATAAATTGAAACGGATTCTATCTGATGGCCACTGGCTGACACCAACTTGACTGAAACCGATCATGCTTGATAGCGAAAATGAAGGTAGTAACGACATACCAGCTGTTTCTGTTCCCCACGGACAAGGTCGCTGAGCCCCTCCTGCGTGCAGGGTCCATCGTGGGCGGTGTTGGCGGCACCTTGCTGGCAGGCTCGTCCTTCCTGGGGATCGCCGGCTGGCGCTTTGCCTTTTATCTGATGGCAATCATCAGTTTCATTCTGGGGGCGTTGGTGTACTTCTGCGCGGAGGACCCCTGTTATCCTCGGGACGTCATCAAGCTCGAGTGAGGCGACTCTGGCACGGGTCCTTCTCAGTTGTTGCCTTTGGGAAATGGAGCAGCCCACTCACATGACTTTGATCGCAGAGCTAGCAATCCTGAGGAATGCTGGTCGATGTGTTTGATTTTGTGTTTGTTTTTGTGTTTGATTCGAGGGCACAGATATCGTCCCGCAATAAGGAACGGATTCACAATGCGTGCTCTTTCCTGCTTCCACTGGTTTGGAGTACTAACTCAATCTGTTGTAGAAACTCTTTGAGACAGACGGCCAGCCTTTCTGCTATCATGATTCTCGTTTACTATGTTTTATCAACAATGGGTGATTGCTTTTGGTCCCTGCTGGGGCCCCTTTTGTCAGAGCTTCCCTGTTTGGGGCCACGCTGGGCGGTGTGAATTCTTCGTTCCAGTCGCCCAGCTGTGCGCGAGCAGCACGTGACACTCCCTTCACAAGCAGCGCCCTGACGTGTGCCGGCTGTGTGCAGGGATGGCAGCCATGTCCTTGCGCGCCCTCCCTCGTTACGCGCCAGCCTGGCGCAGCTCTGGGCATCTGCCGCCACGGTGTTCCGGCTGCCGTCCTTCCAGGTCATCCTCACGCAGGTGGGCCGAAGCAGGGAGGGGCAAAGCCTGCGACCAGAGGACCAACGGATTCTCAAGTGAAACAGACAGTCTCGGCTTTGCTGGCTTCATGATGAAGGAAAATACGAAAGCCTGACTGGCTGTTCGCACGAGGAATGGTGAAACGGGCAGTAAGTGCATTCTTGAGTTCTTCCCGCCATCTTGCTGCCGTGTGACGCCGTTGCTTGTTGGGTGTGGTGGCAGGGCGTGGTGGGCAGCATTCCGTGGGCCGCGATGGTGTTCTACACGCTCTGGCTGGAGCTGCTGGGCTACTCGCACCACGCCGCCGCGGGCCTCGTCGCGGGCTTCTCGGTGGGGTCCTGCCTGGGGGGACTGTTCGGGGGCTACCTGGGCGACTTCTTAGCGAAGAAGAGCCCCAACAAAGGTGTGCAACGACGCGTCATGCTGCGGCCGAAGCAATCCTACTTGAAGCATTGTAGCAAGTCCATGGCTTTAAAAGAAGGCTAGTCCATGGTTCGGAAGAAGGCTAGCCGGCATACCGAAAGCTGTCTACATTTCTCGGATCGGGTGTCGTCAGAGCTTGAGGTATGGTGGAGAAGGTCGGATGTAGTTACAATTGAAGACCCTCCGGGGCGGCCCTGCCAAGGGAACGACCCCTTGGCTGATCGACCAGATTTGCCGGCAGTCTGGGAGCCCTTCAGGTGCCGCGTTTCGCCGGAGAGCTGTTTTCTTGTTACCTGCGGCAGAGGCGGAGCAGTATTGCACTCTTCTTCCTGTTGCCGTCACTTGGCCTCTGGCTGGCGCGCTCGACTCCGCCATGTTCGGCGCCTTGCTTTCTTGGAAGAGTGCCATCATTCCCGCAAGCGCTCTCGCAGGTTCAGGTCAATCTGACCCGATTCGAAGTGGCGTCAATTATCGTCCAAGTAAAAATCAAAGCGTACCGTTTGTCTCAGCCTGCTTCTCCTTGCTCCGCCCTGGCAGGCCGCATCGCGTGTTCCCAGGTGTCCGCTCTGTCCGCCATCCCCCTGACTGCGGCGCTGCTGTTCGCGGTGCCCCGCTCCCCCGCGTGGTGGCCGCTGCACGGCCTCACGCTGGGCCTCAACGGCTTCCTGGTGTCGTGGAACGGGCCCGCCACCAACAACCCCATCTTCGCGGAGATCGTGGAGCCCAGGCTGCGGACTGCGGTCTACGCGTTCGATCGATCGCTGGTGCGTCTCGAAACAATCTCGTTCTATTTCCGAACGGTCTGAGAGGCTCTTGACGTGGCTGGTTCGTTTGCCTCGGGATACTTGTTGAGGAGGTTCGACTCACGGTAGTCTGACTCGCTTTCCGATTGTTCTGTAGACCGTGGGTGCTCCTAAAACTTCGTAGTCCTACGTCTTCCAACAACTGCGTCCTCCAACCCCCGTGATGTGGCAATTGACACTAACCATACTTTGCCGAGAAGTTTTTTCGCTTTGCGTGTCGACTTGCTGCATGTGGTCAGCAGCCCGTGCTCCTCGTTGGTGCAGGTTCCCCTGGCGGCCTTGGGGGCCCCTGCCGTGGGCATCATCGCGGAAGTGTTCTTTGGTTACAACGTCACCGACGAGCAGAAGGGCTCGCCGCCGCTGACCCCCGCAGAAAGAGCGGCCAATGCGCGCGCGCTGGGGAACGGCATCTTCGTAGTTGTGGCTATTCCGTTTGTGGTGTGCGCCGCCATCTACTCGCTGCTGTACCGCACGTACCCGGCCGACCGCGCGCGCGCCCTGCACGCGCAGGAGTTAGCCATGGTGCGCGACCCGTCCTTCGTGGGACTGCCCAGCAGCGGGGGCGAGGCCGGGGAAGGCGACCCCGACACTGAACTGGGCGAGTTCAGCGGGGCAGGGGAGCAGAGGGCAAAGTCACGGCGGGGCGGCGGGGAGGAAGAGAAGCTGCTACAAAACTCAGAAACGGGGCCTCCTCTGAGAAAGGCCGCTTCGGAAGGAATGATGGGGCGACCGGGCGGTGTCGAGTGATATGGGGTGGTAGGTCGTGATTGTTGTGCAGCAGAGTAGCTTTGCATGCAGTCCAATGTATCGAGCTCTGAGAAAACACTGTAAAATGGACGGTTACTGTAGTATACAAAGATAACGCTACTGTAGGACTCGCTTGCAATTGTGCACTGTTATCAGCAAAAGCACATGTCTGCCAGATGTTACCGCGTAACGGCATCTGAGCAACATCTGAGCAACCTCTGGAGAGAGTCATGCTTGACTGTATCAAGCTTGATTCCAGAAGTATCCAGAAACAGGTTAAACACGTTCAGCTGCAGAGAAGGTCGGCCATTGTGCAGCAAGCGCGTCATCTTGCGTCGGGAGCCGTACATATTTTCTTTGGACGCTAGCACAGGGAGCATAGCTAAACGCGCGGAACACTGCTAGATTACTCTGCGATTGTCGAGGTCATCGATTTAACATTTAGATCAGCCTGCTGACTCGGTCTGCGCATGTGCAACGGAACCTGACAGTTTGCCCCCGTAACCATGTGCAGTCAAAGCTTTGACCTAGCTACAGAAAGGACCTACTCCCGTTGAACAGTTGCAGCCATGACATCTGCTGTCCGGCTGAATTGGTGATTTAAGCTAGCTGTACTATAAAGTGTAGCACATTTGCATTGCAACAGATGTGCATAGCTTGGCGCATGCCCATCTTCTAGTATCATGTAGATTTCTATGATCCGATCGGGCCGTGCTGAAATTGGAATCAGTTGCACACCTAGATTGTATCTATTTTGGAAGTAAGCTGCATGCATGAGGTCGACGTACTGACCGTCGCAGTGTATGGTCCATCATGCAGTGCACAGCTAGACGGTTCCGATCGAGTTCTAACGCCAAGGCTAATTGGCCCGCAACATGAGTGAAAAAGGTCGCATATACGGAATTGACATGCGACGTGCGCCGACATGCCCGGGTGCATAACGCTGCTCATATGGTGGCATTGCTGCTGGGAAAGTTGCAACCGAGTCATCTGCGAGCAGGATAATCGGTACCTCCTCCATTGCCAAAAATCACTCGCGGTAAACCGGGCTCCAACAATCGACAAATGTGTCCCACCACAGGAAGCATTGATTGATGCACTCAGGATGTTTGAGCCTGATTGTAGGGTTGAGACCAATTGTACATCGATTGAGTGCCATTGGGAGAGCTCTGGTTATCGCGCGCACGACTCTGTCCCGCTGCTCGATGATCAACTCTCGTACAACTCTTGGAACTTATTTCGAAACGGCCTTCAAATATCAGGACAAGCCCTTCACCACAAGTGCCCTTCAAGAGTATCAAAAGGGGCGCGCCTCTTGGCGCAGCCACAAGTCAGCGCTACGTCCAAGCGCACTGGAATAGCAGATCAACGTTGGAGATATGAGGAGCTGCAAAGTCAACCGCTTCCTGCTCACTTCACTTTCATCAGAGCCTTTCTTCTTCCTCAGCGCCGTTCTCCAGCGGCGCCTCCCCGCTCTCCTGTCCTTTCTTCCCCCCTTTTCGTTTCCTCGGCCCCTCCTCGTCCTTCTCGTCCTCGTCTTTTTCCCCTCCTGCTTTCTCCTCCTCTTCCTCCTCGCTGCTGTACTCGCTCTCGTAGTCCTCGTCGTCCATCTCTTCCTCCTCTTCTTCCTCCTCTCCCTCCTCCCTCTCCTCGCCCTCCTCCTCCCACCGTTCCTCTGTTGCCGCCAGCCCTGCCTCCGCGCCGCCCCGCGTGCCCGCCCTGCTCCGCTTGCTCACCCGCAGCTTGATGCTGCACTTGGCGTCCACGCCCAGCCACGTGTCCGACAGGCAGTGGCACGTCAGCAGGTGCAGCCCCTCCACCGGCGCCAAAAACTTGGCCGTCACCAGCCGGCCCCCTGCCCGGATGCGCTCCATGTCGCGCGCCACCTCCTCCGCGGCCTTCTCTGGCTGCCCCAGCTGCTCCGCCGCCTCCTCCGCCAGCTTCTTGACAGCCGCAACCGCCCCCTCCTCGTCGGCCCAGCTCACTTTCTGGCTCACCAGCGTCTCGTTGCCGTCCGCCAGGATGAGCCACCAGCCCTCGTCGTGCGGGTACGGGAAGAGCGGCGTGTGTGGCACCGTGTGCGGCGGCGCGTCGCGGCGCTGCAGCGTGACCCAGGCGCGCAGCGTGAGCACGTCCCCCTCCTGCACGCCCTCCTCGCCCTCCGTCTCCGCGGCCGCGTCCACCTCCACCTGCGGCACCACCCCCAGCACCGCCTCCACGTCCGCCGCCTGCTCCTCCGACAGCCCTGCTGCCGTCAGCGTCGCAGCGCGCTCCGCATCGTCCATGTCGATCAGGTCCTGCAGGCTGCGCACGCGCTTGCGGCCCACGCGCTTGGCCGCCTGCTCGCCGAAGTGCGGCAGCTGCAGCAGCTCCGCAGCGGCCGGGATCTTCTCCCCGGCCTTGCGCGCGCTCAGCGGGATAGCCTGCACCAGCCCCTGCCGCAGCTCGCACACGCCCTGCGCCGGCCGCAGCCAGCCGCGCCCCTGCGGGGGCCGCGCCACGAGCGCCATCTTCATGAGCTCCTCCAGCAGGCGCGGCGTGAGGGCCAGGCACGCCGCCAGGTCCGCCTGCAGCGCAGCGGGGACGGCGGCTGCCTGCCCCGTCAGCTGCGCCAGCAGCAACAGCTCCGCCTGTAGTCACACGAGCACAGCGACCATCGATTAGTAGGGGAGGGCAGCAAGTCTTGGCAGGAAAAGACACCAGTGAAACTGGCAGGGGAGATGTCAAGGTGCGCAATGAATAGACGCCAGCATGCTCAAGAGGGAACACAATCAGAGGTCCCGCATCATTGTTTTTCGTCGATCTCATTCTGTGAAAATGCCAAACAGTCTCTGTGGCATTTGTCTTGTGCTGCTGGAAGGTGGGCGTGCCGTGGGGCTGCACCTTGATGAGCGCGGGGTGCTGCTTCTTCCAGAACTTGGCCTGCTCCTGCTTCAGGTTCTTGGGGTCCAGCCCCAGCTCGCTGCGCACCAGCGTGAAGACGCGCGCCAGCGCCTCGTCGTCGCTGCGGCGCACGGGCATCTCCACATACTCCTGCGCGTGCACCGCCACCTCCAGCACCTTGCTGCTCGCCAGGCTGGGCTTGATCAGCTGGTAGTAGTACGCCAGCGTGGCCGTGCGCACCGCGTTGCTGTTGTACTGCCCCGCGCGCGACAGGTACACCACCGCCGCCAGCAGCGGCGCCAGGATGCCGCCCCCCACCAGGCACGCCAGCAGCACGCCCCCCGACCCGCCCTGCGCGTCCAGCATGAACTTGGGCAGGGCAATGCCCACCGCCATGCCCTGCGGCCCGTCCACGTTGCCGTACTTCTCCAGGTTCGCGCGCGCCGCCTCGTCCGTCAGCGCCTTGTACGCCTTGGTCACGTAGTCCACAAAGTACGCCGTCGCCTCTGCGCACACGTCGTACAACCGCATTCAGCACACGCGCAAGACAGGCTTCCAGCATAAGAGGAGGGCTAAGATCAGAACTGCAGGACGTGGCCACCCAGCATGGAATGTGCGGACTTTCAGGGGGCCTGGGTGTGTGTGTGCTCACTAGGGTCGGGGTTCTTGTCGGGGTGGTACTCGCGCGACTTGGCGCGGTACGCCTTGCGGATGTCCGTCTCGGAAGCGCCCGGTTGCAGCCCCAAGATGGAGTATGGCTCAAAGGGGGCCACCTGAGGGGGGGCAAGTAAACACCTCGAGTAAACAGGTGCCGCTGAGTGATGCAGCCCAGCTTTGCATACCTATGTACTAGCGTTCCAGGACGGCACTGCAATGGTGGTGGCCCCCCAAATAACTATGCTGATCATGTACTCAGATGTTGGAGATTAATAATCCAAGCCAAGCAGTCTGGGCTCAACGATCGCCGCAGTGCTCTGCAGAGATCAAAGGGTGTATTCCCACCTCTCCCGGGGAGCTCTTGATGGCCAGCAGCAGCACCGCCATGGCCAGCCACGCCAACACGAGGAACACATTGGTCACTGTCAGGAAAGTCGACACCTGCAAAGGGCAGCGCTCAGGTATCATAATAGGACAAACCCAAGCCTCACATTGAAGCTGAGACAAACGGGGCTTAGTTTGGTAGCTTCTCGGAAGCCAGAAATCCACCAGACAGATCCGGCGTATCAGTCATAACCTTGATTTCAGAAAAAGAGCGCAAGACACACCTCAAACCTTTAGTCGCTATCAGAGGGTAGCAAGAAGCATGATCCATCTTGATCATTGCCCTCCATTATGCTTACAAAGTGCTGCGCTGGCCACAGCAATTGCCCGGGTTGGCAAAGCGGAGGGCGGGCAATTGTGTACCTGCTTGGCGAGTGTGGTCTGGTGCTTGGGCGCTCTCTTGCAGAGGCTGCAGGGGCAGTGCGGGGCGCGCTTGCGGTGGCGGGCGCTGACCCCCAGCAGGCGGGCAACGGTCCAGGGGATGACCACGAGGGCCATCATGGACAGCAAAAAGATGGGGAACAGCGCACTCATCTCCTCTCGCGGGGGCGCCATGGCGCTGGCCAAGCGGGTCCAACCCCAAGTGCGCTACTAGCCCGCTACTAGCAATTCAACGAGAAACAGTGAGGCCGTCACGCTTGAACTTGGCACTCGCTTGAGCGAGGCTGCACCCGCCTGATCACCATTCACAAGTCGCCCACCGCACAACCAAGCAAAGCAGATCCGCCCACCAGCTCCCCAGCTGGACCCTGATCGCTGAGCTCAAGAAGGAAGATCTATCTACGATAGACAGCCTCCATCCTCGGGAGCTGTTCACAACCTGTTGAAACGTGAAAGAACAGAGCTCGGAGTCGTGGTCGAGGAGCTCTCCACAGTGCAGTCTGCAGAGCCTCAGGCTCAGGCTCCAGTCTCTGGCTCGGTGTTCACGCCTAGCTCCAGTACCTCTAGTCAACTTCTTTTCGGCCGTTCAGTTGCCTGGATACCGAGGAGTTCTAGGAGTCCACTCGAGAGTTCAAAAGATGTCCCTGCCAGCTGGCACTTGTCCACCAGGCTGCAGCTAGGGAAGCGTAGGGCTCCTATGGTTGAGAGATCAGGGCCTTGGGCAGTGCATTGCCGCGCCGTTGCACTTGGACAAGCATTGATGGTGGACTCTGCAGCTGCGGTGGCCAGACCTTGAGAAACTCATCTGGCCTGCTCGCTCTCTTGAAGTTGAAGCCTGTGTGCATCTCTTCTGGGGCCGCGTCGTTTTGCAAGACGAGGTTTTTTGACAAGCCGTTTCGGCCGGTTGTCCCTTGATTCATCATGGGGCTGTTTGGGACCCTTCTGAGTTTCATGGGGTTCGGGGGGGGCATCGGCGTGGGCCTGCTGATTGGCTACTTCATGTTTGTGTACACCCTGCCCAGCAAGGTGGAGGTGAGCGCGCACCGCCCCACCCAATGGGGGCGCACCGGCAGCACTTCTCCCACCAGCATTGGAATGCAAAGTATTCTTCGCCAAATTCTGGCCTTCACTCTCGCAATTTGCATGCATGCATGCAGCCGTGACTCCGCTGAACTCTGCCCGGTTTGCTGTGCAGGACCCTCCGCTGAAGTCGGTGTCTGACCAGGACCCCAAGGGTCTGGAGCGCATGGTCAAGGATGTGCCCATGTGGGTCAGCTCCCCTGACTGGGAGAGGGTGAGCGCACCGCCACCCTTGCATGCAATGGAGTGGCTTGGAGGGCTCTTCTCGCCTCGTCTAGGAAAGGAAGTGGAATGCGGAGTTGGGGTCAAACCTGGCCTGCACAGTCTCAACAATTTAAATTCTGGGCACATGGGGATCAGATTCTCCTCTCTTTCTGCAACAGCATTGCTTGATGCTTTAGGGGCTGCCTCTAGGATTCAGTGGGGTTTCTCAGCTGGACCATAACCACTGTAAGTTCTTTCGCCTTCTCATCCAGGGCCTGACCTCGTTCCGCAATCGAATGTGGTGCAGCCCCGTAAGCACTGTTGGTGCAGAAAGGTTGAGATGCCAACCGTCAATGACGCCGCCTCTCCTTGCAGGTTGGTTGGTTGAACCGCTTTGTGCGGGAGCTGTGGCCCTTTCTGGACCAGGTACGATTCCACCATCACTGCTTTCTTGTGCATCAATGTCAATGTGGATCCCCTGCGGCAAGATTTGTGCTTGCTGGCCAATTTTGGAGGCAATTTGGTAAAGAGACACTGCAAAAGTGTTCAGGCCGCGGCTAGTGACGCTTTCGTGCCGGTGCTCAAACTCTGCCCGTACTTCTTAGTGAATCGCTTTGGGCCCTCGACCCCTGGTGGCCATCAGTGGCAGGGGCTGGTGCGGTGCATCAGTGTGTCCCCCTTGTCTTGCGTGCAGGCGGTGGCCAAGACGGTGCAGGACATGGTGAAGCCCATGATCAAGCAGTACAAGCCAGCCCAAGTGGAGAGCGTGGAGTTTGAGGCGCTCACACTCGGGACGCTCCCCGCGCTTATCGACGGTTAGTGTTGCCCCCAGATTCTTATCTGCCTTTCAGCGTACGTATGTTAGCAAGAGTGACAAGGTCTAGACCAGCGGGGGTAGGCAGCGGGGGTGGCATGTTACCGGTGCGGCACCAGGGCTCTGAGCTTGGCGGGGTCTCGTGTGCAGGGGTGAAGGTGTATGAGACGAACGATGACGAAGTGATTCTGCAGCTCAACGTGAAGTACGCTGGCAACCCCAACATCATCGTTGCTGCCAAGGCGTTTGGAATGAAGGCAACCGTGCAGGTGGGCGCCCACTACAGCACCCCTATAGCCTCGCGCCACCTGCCCCTGGCTCACGTGGTGGTGTCTCTGTTGAATGAAGCAGCACGAAGACTCGCGACCCTATTGTTAAGATCTGGGGGCTATTTCGAGCGTGCGGGGGACTGCTCTTATATTTCTCTTTAACGGCCTCACATGTGCGCCCTTGCTTGAGTTGGCGCCGGAGGTGCTGCGTGACTGCGGGCCCCATTGATTGCTGGGGTTGGGTTGTGCGTGCAGGCGACGGAGGTGCAGGTGTGGGCGCAGGTGCGCGTGACGCTGAAGCCGCTGATCCCGGTGTTCCCGTGCTTCAGCAACATCACCATCTCCCTCATGACCAAGGTGCGCGCCCGCCGCATCAAGCAGCGGAACAAGCGCAACCTGTACGATTCTGCATCATGAAGGCTAAGCAGCAGCTCGTTTGCTGTTTGACATGTACGCGGATCTGGAGTGCACTGATTGACGCGCTCCTTTTGTCTCGTTCTTGCAGCCACATGTCGACTTCGGGCTGAAGCTGCTGGGAGGGGACGTGATGGCTATCCCCGGACTTTATCACTTTGCCCAGGTATGAGGCTCCGGGAGTTCGACGAACGTTTCAAGTGTGGTTTCTCTTATCAGCCGGTCGTTTGTCCTCAAGGTTTCTTCAGATGCAGAATCCCACATGGAGGCTTCCCTCAACGCTCCTATTCTGAGACAAGCCTTCGCACTTGGCAAAAAACCTCTTGTTATCTCAAGCACTCGGATACCTGGACGATATAGTTCCTGAGTCGAAGTGCTGTCCCTTGCCTTCCTTTCTCTCCGTCCCGCCGCTGTTGCTCACCTGTTGCGGGGCACCCGGGTGCAGGACCGCATCAAGAAGATTGTGGACACCATGCTGCTGTGGCCCCACAAGATGGAGATCCCGCTCGGCGGAGTTGTCGGGTGAGCCCCATCGAACCCCTCTTCCTAATCCGGGACTTGCCTCCATAACATGTCACAGACGTGCAGTTGAGGCTGCTTTCTGTGGCTGCGGCTGCCTTGGCGGAAGCTTGTCTTCTCCTCAGTGCACAGCCTGTCGCACAAGTCACTGTCGGGCCTTTGAAAACTTAGCATGGCGGTGCCTGCGTCCCGGCTCCCCTGGCTGACGGGGTGGCTGTGGTGTCGTGCGCTGCGTGCAGCACGCGGCCGGTGGGCATCCTGCACGTGAAGCTGGTGGAGGGCAAGAACCTGCGCAAGACGGACGTGTTTGGCTCCACCGACCCCTTCGTCGAGATGGCCTTCACCGGGGACGACAAGCCGCAAAAAAGCAAGGTACGGACTCCGCCGTTTCCGTAAGTACCCTCGCAAGGGCGCCCGAATTGGGCCTGCCGCTGTATCGCTGCTCTTATTTCTTACAGAGTACCGCGTTGCTACATCCTGTTCCGGATAGTCGATAGCATTGTAGATTCTGGAAACATCTGGTCGTTATGACCGTGCTCTGACAAAGAGTAGCCTCCTGGTCCGCCTCTGCGGGTTGTGATGTTGCCTCTACTGGGCTTCCACGTGCTGATTGCCGCGTTGTCCTCGAGCAACATCAGCAGTCGTAGTCCTTTCTATCCGGGGCGGGGGCCTGCTCGAGGGTTTGTATGACGATTCTCACCCTGGCTGCTTGTGAACGTGGTGCAGACGCTGAAGAAGGACCAGAACCCGACGTGGAACGAGGAGTTCCAGTTCGTGGTGCGCGACCCCACCACGGACAAGCTCACGCTGCAGGTCTACGACTGGGACAGGACGTCGTCCAACACAAAGGTCAGCACACCGCCCGCCCGACGGAGACAATCAACCGGGAAAAGCCTCTTGACGATCGTTTCAAACCGATTTTTGAGTTCGCTTAAGTTGCCTCGCCGTTTGCTGGCCTGGTTGCGGGGTACTGTCGTTGACGCGTGGACGTGCGTCGGTGTGCGTGCAGACGGGCGTGGCGGTGGTTGCGCTGAAGGACTTGGTGGGCAAGGGCGAGCAGGACCTGTGGCTGGACCTGGCCAAGACGGCCGCGGGACCGACGGAAGGCGACAAGGGGTACGGCCAGCTGCACGTGGTGGCGCACTACAAGGAGCTCAAGGACGAGATGGACACGGACGAGACGCCGCCGGGGGGGGGCGAGGCCGCCGTGGAGAAGGCGCCGGCGGGGACGCCCAAGGGGGGCGGCGTGCTGGTGGTGATCGTGCACAAGGGCGAGGAGCTGGAGGCCAAGAACGGCACGCCCACCGCGTACGTCAAGCTCAAGTACCGCAACATCGAGTTCAAGACCAAGGTCAGCACGGCAACGGGCGTGGCCACAACGTGCAAAGCCGCACCACGGGATGAATGACTTCAAACGGCACCTTGTACGTTTCTCGTGCTGAGGATCCATCTCAGGTGCCTCGTGCCTATGTCTGTTGGCCACCTTTTCTCGTAGAATAAGGCCGGCTGGAGCGCTGAAGGCGGTGCGTGGTGGGTGTTGTGTGCGTGCAGCCGGTGAAGAAGAGCGAGAGCCCGGAGTGGGAGGAGCGCTTCGAGTTCATCTTGCAGCAGCCGCCCGCGGGGGACCAGCTGCACGTGGAGGTGAAGAGCAAGGACTCGGACATGCTGGGCAAGCTGACGCACCACAAGGTATGCAACGCGCAGCCAAACTGGCAGGCACGGCAGCTTGGAGCATCAGGATGGGCGTCGTCAGTACGTCGAGTCAGTACCGTGAAGTGATGGAAATGTGGTGAAAGTTGTACTCTCATCATTGACTCCTCAGCCACACCTCAACTCCAGTCAAGGCCATCCACTATACATCTGAGATTGGAAGAGCGCTCAGACCGGAAACGTTGAGACCGTGCCAGCTGCTCGGACGTTAGGTTTGAATTCCCCGGGTCTGCTGTGCTCTGCCTCAGCGTTGAGCCCATTGTTCGCTGGTGTGGGCACCGCTTGAGCTGCCATGTGACTAAGAGTCGGCAGAATGCGACGATTGTCGGTTCCTCTTGCAGTTGCCATGCAAGATCTGCTTAGCCGCAAGGAACACTAGGCCTGACTGATACATCCGCTTCGTAGCCCCGATGCGAGCCCTTCCACAGCAGGTCGTGCGCGCTTGGAGACTGAAGATAGACAATCCTGGGCAGGCCTCCAAGCAAGGACCTTGGTTGTTATATGCGAGATGTGAGCCATGACATTGACCTGCTTTCGGCGTTCGTTTGCACGCGCAGAGTACGATTGGGGACGTGGACATTCCGCTGAACGACGTGGTGTCGAACCGGCGCATTAACGACGTGTACCAGCTCAACAACTCACGCCATGGCGCCGTCAAGATCGAGCTCCAGTGGCTCACGCCCTAGGGCCTGCCAGATGCAGGCTCCGCTCGCGCGTCTCTGCCACTAACGACACTTGTCATCCGGTCCAGTGTTTCGAGTGCCCCTCTGACTCTTCGGAAGACGTGCTAAAGTCAGCTGGATGTTCCTAAGCGGTTGTACAAAAGAACTGGTCGTAGTCGTTATTTACAGACAAGGTAGTTACTGTTCTTCGAAGTGTTGACCTGAGTTTTCTTGGCCGTTGGTTGGCGTCGTCCATGAATGGGCAGTTCTAGTCCACAAGCCTGAGGACTCCAGCGGGCGGTGCTGGATATGGAGTGCACGTTGTCATGGCCCTACCGCACATGTGCGACGTGTATGGAATTACATTGTACGCAAGGTTATACCACCGGCCTTAGATCTTTGTAGGGGGTGGCAAAACGATTCTGCAATTCTGCTAACGCTCGTTTGTGCGTAAGCGATGAAACTGCTCCTACGTTTCTTGTACGACCAGAGCATTGATCAGGGTAGTTGCACGCTGATATATCATTGTCATGTGCGCTGGTCGTCGGACGCTGCTGTCAGCTGTGCAGCCGAACCATTCTGCGTGTGCACGTCGATCAATGATCTACTCTAAGCTCCTCGATCAGATATCCGCGTTGATCCGCAGCATGCAGCGTTGCTTGAGAGTTAAGCAAATGCGGAGGGATCGCAGCCTGGTCCGTTTGCATGCAAGATCCTGTCGAACGATACAACAGCTAGAGCCTAGTGTGGATCATTCGCAATCATGTAATTTTTCAACATGTGTTTTGTACGGCCCTATGAAAGATAAACCTTTCAAAAGAGTCAAAGCCATGTACGTGCAGCTGCCCAATCATGAACGCGTCTTTTCAGGACGTTCAATACATGTATACAATCAAGGACCACGGTGTTCAATGATTGGACCCCCGCATAATGCAAGTCTCATGTATCCCAGATTAAATCATAAAGCAAAGTAGTACCTATAGGAGACCGAGCAGCTATTCTTAGAAACCGCATAGCTCGCTCTGAGCATGCTTACCATGCGTCAATGCCTATACGCTCATTACATGTAGACCCAGAATCCACTTCCGAGGCCCCGCGGCCAGCTCAATTGCACTGTACGCGCCTGTACAGCTCCTACATACTCCGCAACTCAGGTGCTAGCTAGCAGGGCTAAACGAAAGCATTGATCTCGGTCACTTGGGCTCAACGGCCTCTCGATGCCTAGCAACGACCTTGCTCATGATACACTCATTCTCTCATCTGCATCCTACGCTGCCCTACGTACTGGCGGTCCAGGCCTATAGCTGGATCTGGTGACCAATGTTCCACTACTGAACAGCACTACCCGCCCCGAGCAGGCGGTGCTCCAAGGACGGTCCGTGCTAACTAGGCATGCTGCAAAACTGGGTCCTCAATTACCGCAGCCGCTGGGCGCCTGCCCTTATTGTACACTCTTCGGCCTCCGCAGCTGCGCGGCCGCTTGTTTCTAGATGGCGTAGCAGAGCTTGTTGTCCAGGTTGGCGATGGCGATGGCGAACGCCTGCAGCGCGCTCAGCGGCGGGCTGTAGTCCAGCGCGAAGCTGTTCTTGCCGGTGCGCCCGCACAGCAGCACCGGCGCGCCGGGGCCCTGCGGCAGAGCGGCGCGCGCGGGCACCAGCAGAAAGTTTTTGCTGCTCGCCACCTTCACGCGACCCCTGCAGAGGCAGGAGAGGCGGGTCAGATTTGGTTGGAACAATACAGTTATCCTTGATTCAACGGCCGAAGCCGTCAGCGCCCGATCACACTCCGGCGAGTTGTGCACAAAATGGCTCACTTAAACGTAAGAATGAGGGTGCAAGGCCTGCCACATGGCCTACTTGGGGAAGTCGAGGTTGTACGCCTTTGTGGTGGGGCTCCACACGGGCGCCTTCGTCTCCAAGACCAGCCCCGGGCTGCTCAGGCCGTCGGCATCCGCGGGCAGCCCGCCCAGGCGCAGCGCAGGGAGGCCCGCAGAGGGGGGGCCGCCAGCCAGGCCACGCAAGGGGGGGGAGCTGCACGAGCACAGGTGAGGACAACGGTCAGATGGAGAGAAAAGTACGAGCGGTCGACGAGACGGGCCCGGATGCAAATAAGGCCCGAACTATTCCTCGCAACTTTTAGAGCGTAGTGTACGCGCTCTTTCAACGTCCAGGCGGTGTCAGTGACGGGCAGAAGAGCGCCGGGCGTACCTGGCGCAGCGCGCGTACTGCGGGCTGGACGACTCGGAGGGAACGGCAGGCGGGGCGCCGTCCGGCATGGAGACGCCCGGCAGGACGACGGTGAGGCTGCGCGAGCCGGGCTCGCCCACAGAAGCGAAGCTCTGGCAGGGGCGCAAGGGACGGAGTGGGCGAGGGCAGGAGGAGAGGCCGTTTGCCCGCGCACACAGGAAGTGACAACCAGAGCTAATGTGTCAATCAGACAGTAAGGAAGCAGTCGAGCACCTATTCGAACACCGTGACGGGTTCCAGAAGAGCTCTGACAGGATCAGTTTGAACCCATAACAGCTCAAAAGGTCGTTTTCTCACGGTCTTCATTTCACACCTTTGTCCTCACGCGAACGCAGTGGCTGCAGTGGGCGGCAGTGGCTGAAGATTCGTGCTCTGTTGGATTTCGAAAGAGTGATAAGATGGGCATCGGCCTCTCACCTTGCCAAACCGGACGATACACTTTGCAGTCGACTCGAGCTTGAGCCTGCTGCGGGGGCTGCGCGGGCTGCCCGGCTGCACGTCCCCCGGAACGGTGTCGGCAAACAGCATGTACTCGCTGCCGGCAAGGTTGGCGCGCAGCTGGCCCACGCTGCCGCTCTCGCGTGACCCTGTCGAGTTGTCCTCGAAAAAGGTGTACCAACTGCGAATAGCCGTCAGGGACCTGCAGGGAGGTGGTCAAGCAGCAAACTTAAAGGCGGATGAGGAACTCTTTCAACAAGACGCCCAAAGTGTCCGAGGGCTGCTTTGCGGTGTCGCTCTAAAGCGTACAAAGCAAAGGTATGTCCTCCCTTCGTGTAATATACATGTCTCTGCTGATCGAGCCCACTTGGCAATTAGAATCAACCGGAATGGCATGTTGCCCCTTGGCCGCATACCTGCGGGCTGTGTACAGGAACTTGTCCGTTCCGTCATCCAGGTAGCACGAGTACTGTGGCCTCATGGTCCCCTTGCGCATGATCCGGCATCGGACAGCCAATTCAACGGGCGCTAAGCATCGTGCCACCTGGAGGCTCTTGTGCCCAGTATGACCAACAGCCGGCCGGCCCTGTTCCCCATTGGCTCCCTCGTCCCTAGGGCGGCATGCTGCTGCCTCTTCCTCCACTGGATTCACCTTGCTGTGGCCCGCCCTGCCCAGGCTCAGCATGCGCAGCAGGCCCAATCCCATGCCCGCCCCCGTGGGGCTGCCAGTACTGGCCGCCAAAGCCTCCGGAGGGGCCGCAGTCCACCCTGGGGCAGGCCTGCTTGAACTGCCCTGCACATCGTCCTGTGGCTCAGCGCGCGAGGAGGGCTGAGCCTCCGTGTGAAAGGTGTCGTCGTCCCGCCCTGTGACTGGCGACGACGGGAGCGACACACTCAGTTGGGCCATCCTCAGGCTGCTCGAAGATCAGGCCTGCCACACCGTAACGGCAGCCATCCTTGGGTTTGAAAGCCGATGCCCTCAACTCCGTCTAGCCAAGTGAACGGATTGAGAGCAACGGTCCCGATGGGCGTGCTGACCAGACACGACACTTCCTTCATACGGCGGTCTATAGCTAGCTGGCGTTCCTATTCATTCCTTACACCAGTCAAAGATGCATACATATTCCTTACACCTGTCATTTCAGAGCTGAATTTCGGAGCGGGCCCGACCCATGAGGGCCACACTCTTGATCAAACGAGTGCCTCGCTGGATACAAACATAGTGACGTGGCAGGAAGTCGGCCATGACAATGCAGTGCCGTTGTTTGGACGTCGACCTATTCAGACTGGTCAGACCGGCTTCTCCTGAGCGTTCGCTGAAGTTTAATCATGCAAGTTTCTTTTGTTTCATAAGTCAGGGGTTCCGCATCATACTTATACCTGAGAATGGCATTCATGACTATACCATCTAACCGGAATTGAGTGGGCAAGAAGCCCCAAAACCTCAACAGTTAATATTAACTGTTGGCGTCAAACTCGGCTTTAGATGAGTTGGTTAATTGCAATATGCCAGGTTGGACTTGACCCCGACTTGAGCTTGCCGATCAACTCAGCAAGCGGAAATTTGTTGCTTTGACTGCCAATTGTGCACACCGTTACGTCTCTCCCGATCAGCTAAGCAGCTAGCGTCGACAGCTTCGACGCGTCAACCGGTAACCATTCGCTTCGGGTTGACGTCCATAGTCTGATAGTCCCCGCCCTCCGCTTTGCCGCTTTAAGACGTTGTCACTGCGTACACCTGCCGGCATCTCCATCCTATTCTACTCGCTCAAACTTCCAAGTGGGTTGGTTACCGAGTACGTATCTAAGGTATGTAGACTCGGGTGATTGAAGCACTACCTACCTATTTACAAATTAGTGAAAGTCTGCGGAGTCCCGTGTCAGTCAGGACTCAGGATACCCCTCGGGTCAATGCATTACTTCCACCTACCTATGTTCCTATGTGCAGCGCACTGATTACCCACATTCTTTATTCTGATTTGGTCAACAGACACCTCCGCCTCAGCGCGCGCACACTATTCTCCACATCCGACGGCAGGCCCGGCAAGTAGATCTGCCCTAAATTCATACTTCGGGATCGACGGTCAGATTTGACAAGATCGTGAAGTAGCCGGTCTCTACTACCCACAGGGACCGGTGGATCCCCAAAGGGTCCGGGAACGCCGTGTACGAACAGCTCGGGGATTGTTTCCGGGGAGTGCCACGGAAACTGTTTTCAAATTCCCCGCCAAGATGCCCCATGCATGCACAGGTGGCGGTAAAGGCCCAGCTAGAACGGCATTCTGGGCATTGAATCTTGATCAACCTTCAAGGAGTACGGCAGAGAGCAACAGCCTGCCAACAGTGCCAACAGGAAATGCGGTAGGGTTCCCATACGGTAATTGAAAGGTGTACCGTGTCCCTAAGAGAAGTGGCTTTCATTGTCATCTTTGATCTGCAACACTTTCAATAGCAGTTGATCAAGGTGCCACCGTTTGCGCGAAACTTGCTCTGGGTCTGAGTACCTTTGCTTGGTCTGCTCATCTAATCTGCACCTAGGCCAGTCTTTCGAGTCTTAAGCAGCACTTCGAGTAGGGCTGGAAAGAGTCTGAGGGATCCTGTTCATCAGCAACTGCGCAGCAAAACACCGCCAGCTGTCGAGAGAGAGTTGACAAACGGCGCCGTCACCATGCCGGCTCAGATCCAGTACTCTGAGAAGTATTTTGATGAAATTTTTGAGTACAGTTAGGTTTTCCATCCCTGACAGTCTCGAGTGTTAGTATTACTCCAGTACAGGAAGTATCTACTCCCTCCTACTTTGCTTTTGCCTCAATTGTGCTCTGATGCCCCAAACATGCGAGCTGTCTCCGTCAGGCATGACTCCAGCACGACTCTGTCAAAGAGTCAAAAGTAACAAGGTTCTGCCTGCTTTCTGCAGACATGTGGTGCTGCCGAAGGAGATCGCAGAGCACCTTCCCAAGAACCGGCTCCTTTCAGAGGTGAGCGCTCACCAATCACCAGTCAGAAAGGCTCCCGTTGCATGCGGAGTAAGACTGAACAAGGTTGGGCGGGTCCATAGGCTATCCCTACGGTGGCAGGAGTTTGCGAATCGGTCCAAAGAATTTGGTAGACCCAATGTCCAGCTGTGGCGCCAACCTATCAGTCGCGAGCGCGAGCAGACTCATGGATGGATGAATCTGCCAGGTGGAATGGAGGGCACTCGGTGTGCAGCAATCAAGAGGTTGGGTCCACTATGCAATCCATCGGCCAGAGGTAAGCTTTTCGTCTCTACTTCATCAATTTGTGATAAACACTTGTTGGTTCAAGCAGATAAAGCTCTGCTTATCTGCTGTGGCGAAGCCTTCGCTTCTCCCTCATGGAAATAGCCTGCTTCCTTGTTACATTCTGCTTAAGGTGGGTTAATTGTTGGAAACTTGAATGATGCCCTCTGATGACGCAGCATCAATATGTTCCATGAATCTACTGAACCTCAACAAATTGGATGTATACAGCCACACATAATGCTCTTCCGACGTCCAAAAGACTATCAGCAGCAGCAGGCGCCAGCTGTACAACAAGTTCAGGCGAACGGAGTCCGGGTCTGATGAAAGCCTAGTCTTGGAGCTCCTCGTATGCTTATCACAGTCTGAAGCCTCCTCCTACTAGCCGTTGGTCATGTATGGTTGATACGCAGCCAGTGCAAAGCTAGGGCACCATGACTGGAAGGTAGACAGGACAGCTCAGGGGTTGTCAAATGATCTCTTTTCCATCGTGCACCGAGGCAACTAATTTCCTGAGATCTAAATGGTTGGTAAATTGTGTGCTTGTCCAGCCATGAATTTTGTCTGTTGCTTTTGTGGCCATGTGTATCCCAGCTTAAAAGTATTCACCGGGTAGTATGAATGCAATCGATCACGTTGAAGTGTTGGAAAGAAAGTGATACTTGTGAAGTCGAGGAAGTTGTGCAAGATACTAGAATGAGATGGTAAACTGTAACAAATAGGTACAGCAAATGCGGGTTTTCCCTGTCCAAGCTCGTACATGAGGCGCTCTCATGAAAGCAATACAAGACTACGAATCGCATTTAGGCGTCCATAAATCGCAGAACGGTGACCACGTAAGTTGTGCTTATATTAGTACGTTTGTAGCCATGCAATGCATGTTTTAGCATGACCATTCATTGCGAATTGTTCGCATCGTTTGGACGCCCTTAAAGATTGAATTGGACTCGCCGATTAACGAAGTCATATGCTGTTAAAAGTATTTATAAGCTGAAAGACTATCATGACTCACAACAAGCGATCCGAGCAAAATATATAGTGTGTCACTCTCTCGGTAACCAGTGAACCAGTCTGACAACGACCCTTATTACAGCATGACAATGTTCGATTACATTTGGAAAATTGTGTAATGACTACAGCAAGTTCGACCAGGTTGCAAATGAAATCAAGGAACTTTCTTGCGAGAAATGTGCAGCAACTTTCTTGAAAGTTTTCTCAAAGCCGGGCGGAACTTGAGGTAGCCAAGAAAAGTAGATCGCAGAATACCGGATACGTTTGGCCGGGTCCAAGTCGACCAACTGTTGACATCGCAAGAAAGCTTTGATTTTCCTGTGATAATAGAACAGCTAGCACGATAACCATGACGAGCTCCTAACCACTGAGTGGGCTGAGCTTGACTTATAATTTGGCTGCTTAGCATGTCAGACGCCTCCTGCCCTCCGTTGCATCTCCCGTTTAAACCACGAAAGCGGTTTCTCTTGTTGGCTGGGTGCAACGGGCTCCTGGAAGAGGCACACCGTAAAGGCGCAGATTGTCAACGTTTGAAGCACGGAGTGAGAAGCATTCATACGAGACAGCCAAATACCAAACGGGGTGGTAATCTCAACACTGGCATCTAGACCTTCAAAAGATGGGCATTACTGATACCTTTGGCAAGCGCAGGAACCAAAGTGCAGAACTTCACCTGCACTTGCGTGCCGGTTGACAGGAAGAAGGTTCACAGAAAATCACAAATCTTGACATGTACCTTGCAGGTAAATCGCAAGTGCCACACATGGCAATGACCACAGACACATGAGGGGATGGAAAGGTCAGTCAAACCTACTTCGAAGGTTGCCAGCGACGTCACAGTCCCAGGCGGCTCCTGTTTCTCGACGATTCTGCCCACAGGGGCCTGCAGATTACCAGGATATCGGTCAGTATCCAACAGCCAATTAGGGGCTTGTTGGCAAAACCTTGCGCTTAATGCTGCCTTGAGATAATTCGGCTGCGTCAACAGCTTTTTGAAGCACCCTTTGAATGCAAGCACATTCGTAAGGGAATTGAAGGCGACTTCGTCAGGGATCAAGCGAGAAACAGATTCTGGAAAAAACTCGTTGCTGAGCAAACTCTCGGAAGCAAACATCATATAAGCATCCTCGGCAATAGTAGACCAGTCACGCACAGTGTTCCTGTCCGGCCTCGCTTCCATCTTCCCCAACCCTCCCGGCGGTCCCGCGACCTCTGGAGCAAAGTCTTCAGACAGAAAGCGCTGAAAAGCCGCTTCCTTCTCGTGCAGAGAAGCGAACTGGTGCTCGCTCTTGTGAGCAGGCCGTTGCGGGGTCTCGCGCACAGGCTCTGGCAGTCCTGCGCCTCGCCTGCGGTCGCCGTCAGTTGGACGTCCACCACGGCCCGGCGGGGACTCCAGTCTCTGCAAACAAGTGCATCCTTAAATACCTAAGCAACTAGAGTATGCCGCTGCTCTGCCCAACCCTCCAGCATGGGACCTGCTCTGCGGGCTTGCGCAACTGGAACGTCCCGCCAGGCTCCCCGCCCGGCGATGCAAGCTCCACGTTTTACAAAGCCTGGTGCAGGTCACTCGAGGCCCCTTTCGAGGACTCGGGTCCGTTGAGAGGATAACAGCTTCCAGCAATGATATGCGTTGACAAACGCTGGCAGGCGTTCCGCGCCATCCTGTGCCACTGGTCTCTTGACCTTGAGCGGCAGCCCAAGCGAGCGCTCACCGTCCGCTCCTCGCTTCCCTCGTCGCCTCTCGTACTGCCGTCGTGTCCCAGCCCCTGGCCTTGCTGCCGGCGCACCTGCTCCGCTCTCTGCCTGAGCCGCGTCCGAGCATCTTCCAGCGCCATGTCGCGAGCATACGCCGACGTCAAGGCGCGGCCACCTTCCTGGGCAGGGCCCGCCGGTGCGCGGCGCGCCAGCCACTGCTGGATGTCAGCGGATACCTGCCAGAGTGCGGAGCAGCAAGGCGGGCAGAGCTTGTGGAGCACAGCATAGAGAAACTCTCGAGCGATCAGTAAGCTGGGGCGATGAGGCCAGGGCCGGGACATAATGATGATTTGTGAACGCTAAATTTTGCGTGACAAAGGTTGCAAACAACGTGGCCGCCAAGCATCTTCATCTACGAAGGGACAGATTGACTCCCTTACACCAACTGCGGTTCGGGTTCGTTATCGAACTACTTGTCTCGAGACGACACCAGCTTCAAATGGCAGGGAGGACCGGAGGACAACCGAAAACTCTCAGAATCTTATAAGGTAGCCAATACTGAAGGCATCTCCACGTGGTCAACCAGCACACTTACAAGGCCAACACAAAGCGTCCATGGTGGTCCAACCTGTCAACCGTCAGCCGTGGCCTGTCCCCTCACCTGGCGCCCTGTTTCGAAGGACGGGCCCCCCTCATTGTCGTCGTCGTCTCCCTCGTCCCCGCTTCTCCCCCCCTCCTCGTCCTCCGCCCACTCGTCCTCACTGCTGCCCCCCTCCTCCACCGCCGCCAGCTCCTCAAAAAAGCGCCGGTCCGCCTCCTGTTCGTCCTCCCCAATCCCTTCGCTTCCGCTGGATCCGTCCCCACTGTCATCACGACTTGCCGCCGCGCCGGGCCCCTCATTCGTCCTTTCTTGTGCATCGCTGTCTGTGTCATCCGCAGAGCCGACCTCAGCGCTCCTCCCTGGGCCGTCTTCCCCCACGGCTCCACTGGTCGCCCTCTCGACCACCTGCCCCAGTATCGGCCGCGCTCTCTCCGCCCCTTTCCCCAGTGCTGTGCCAGCGCCTGCTACCGAGGCATCTCGTCTCACAGCTGAAGGCCCTTCTGATGGTGGTCCTGTCTGTTTCACTCCCTGCTCCTCGTTGTCCTCTGCAAAGCGGACCCGCTTCTGCTTGCTCCCCACTCCAGGGGCCACCCTGCTTCCGGCGGCCACACTGCGCCCAGGCTCGGCCTTGCTCTCTGTCTCTCCGCCCCGTTTTACGATTGCGTCTCCGGTGTCCTCCTTGTCGTGCCCCATCTCCGTGTCATCTCCTGCTTCCGCGGCCCCCTGCGCCGCTCTTGCCTCCGCTGCCTCTAGCTCCTCCAGCCGCCCCATCAGCTCTTCAAATTCTGCGTCCCCGTCTGCGCTGCCCCTCCTCAGGTCTCCCGGCTCTCCGCTGGCTGCCAGCACGGTCCCTGCCTCGGCAGTGCCTGCCTGCTGCCGCCCAGGAGCCGCTTCGACGGCTGCGCCATCGTCCTTGTACTCCTCGCGGATCTCCAGGAAGTCCCCCTGCAGGCAAGCATGGCCAGGATGGTCACCACAGGGAGTGGCCAGCAGGCATCCTCGGAAAGACTCCATGCCTGCGTAGGGAGTCCGAACAGGCCCTGGCCAACGTGAGGACCAAAAAGCACAGGCCGTCATACGACGCAGAAGTATTCGTGAAACCTGTTCGTACTACAGACCGTAGTGCTGCTGATGAAAGTCAAAGCATAGTTGTTTGCATGTCCGTCCTCTGTATCAAGGAACAGCATCAGTAAAATAGAGGTGGCTTCCTGCCCAGGCAGCAGCTTCCCACCCTGTCCGCTTCTGCCAGGCGCTGTGCCACCTCCAGTCGTTCCTGGAGCCCCGCCACCCTCTCTCGAACTGCCTCGAGGCTGCTTTGTGTCACTGCACACGCACATACCACAGTTGCAGCAGGAGGTGCCTCAATGACCTGAGCGCAAATTTAGGAGGCAGCTGAGATGATGCTCTAACCAACCCTTGCTCCACTGGTACCTTGGTTTGCTTTGTCCAATACAATAGATGGCATGAGATTGCAACGACGGGTGTGCCCTATTGCTTCGTCAGGTCCCCGCCCCCTCACCGCCAGTCCTCCTCTCCAGGATCTCCCCGGCCTGCCTTGCTGAGCGCTCCGCATACAGCTGATCCCCCAGGTGCACCAGCAGCTCATTGCTATGCACCAGCTCGCCAGCAAAGAAGGCCAACCGCCCAAACGGCACCTGCAAAGCCGGCGCGTATCTTGGAATTCTGTGCTTTCAGGCAGGGTGCGCTTATGGAGGTGGACGCAGCGGGCATCTGCGGTTGGCGCCATAGCCTCCTGGCATCATGGCCTTGCGCACCGGATGATGTACTGATTCCACTTTTTCCAGCGTGCCACAGAGGGGGGTCACATGACTGCCCTAAACCACACCGCCACACCACCACCGCCACCTCCACCTTCATCGACATCATCGCCCCCACAAAACCAATAAGCACCACCACCACCACCAATCGCCCCAACGCCAGAGAAAAGTGGAGCTGCACCCTTGATCTTACCATGATGGGGTGGCGGGTCTTGTGAGGCAGCCCTGCAGTGGTGCGCACCAGGGCGGCATTCTCCTTCAAATTGGCCGCCAGCCTCTTTTCCGCATCTTCCTCCACTGAGAGCGCCTGCTGTGCAATATTGAAATGCTGTGATGTTGCTTGTTCCCAACCAACCGTGCGAATGCAATGCAAATGTCCGGCTCATTTTGGGATGCTGTTTGCAATTGCAACATTGATACAAACAAGCGCATGAGGGTGGTCAGGAAGAAGAGCGCTCAGCGACTGCTGCATCAGGATCCTCACCTTCTGGAAGTGTGCCGCCATGCGGGCCGAAGACAACTCCATGGCAGGTCACCAGCACGGGAATGTCCGACGGTTTTGTCAGGTAGGACGAGAGGTTGAGCTGTAGCCGAGCTGTGGCAGCGTGCAGGCGACCAAGGGACACTGCAGGTTACCTAAATGGCCATGGTCTACACGGGCAACAAGCCCTATCCTACAGTAGACGTTTTCCAAGTTAGCTGGGACATACCGGTAGAGGGCCCTGGCCACTGGCCTCCTTGGCCCCTGGTATACGTGGCCAGGTGGACCCTGGGCCTCTGCCAGCTGGCGGCCAATTTATGCAATTATGCACCATGACGAAATCAGAGAGGATCACATTATCGATATGGTAGGTCTCAATTTTTATGTTGACTAAGGAAAAGACCCGGGGGACGGTTAGGGTTTCCTTGGAGGTTAGGGTGTGGCACCGTGCACAGGTGCGGAGCGGGTGTCAACTATCGGTTTTGTTTATTGGTTTGTTCGTACCCCGAGCACTACATATCCTTTTAATAGTCAAGACTCAACAATGAACATGATCAATTTTGAGAATTGAAATCAATCATCATGAATCATGATGATCGTACAGGTAGACGAAGAGATCGGCCGGTGTTCGTTTCAATCCCATGCGCGTGTTGTGCGCACGCTGGACGTGGTCACCGACAGCTTTTGCTCTCTACCGTCTGCACCACAATCTCACCGGCTAACCAGCCGGTTTAATCAGCCGGGCACCTACTTCACCTGGGCGCCCTGATAAATCCAAGCCGGTTTTCCAGCCGGTGCCAGTGTGGGCCGATGTCGGCACCCGGTGTATCTCTCAGGTTTGCCGAACACAAGCAAAGAGATGTGGCCATGCGTCCTATGGATGCTGGGGCTGCCCAATGTTCGTGGCGAAACTAATTAATTTCGCCAAGTTGATTTTCGCCAGCTTGTCGCCATTTAGTGTCTGGCAAGGGAATTTCGCCGGCCTGGCGAAAAAGCCTATGCTACCAGGCATTTTTTCCTGCTCGGGCGCCTTTACCAACTTTGACCGCTCTCAACCCTGATTGTAACCAGTCGAACCGCCTGCGTGTGTGCTTGGTCAGGTAAAACATCTGAAAAGTGGTTGGAATAAGGTCGAGACAAGAAACAAGGTACCCGGGACAGGCTCCCGGCCATAATAGCCGCTTGGAATTTCGCCATTAGTGTCATTTTCGCCAATTAGTGTCCGGGAGGTCCTATTTAGTGTATTTCAGGATTTATTTTCGCCACGATCACTGGGGCTGCCCTAGGTAGGTAGCTCGCGAGACGCCTTCTCTTATCTTTGAAACATCTGGTGAAGGCCGAAACTGGCACAATGGAAGGGGTGCAGGGACGCCACACTGACAACTCCAACGAGTCCAAGCAGGGGATGGGGATCCGCTTTGACACCATGTTGAGGGGGTGTACCATCTCTCTTTCTAGGCGAAGTTCGTCATTGATTGCTCTGGCCACTGTCTCGCATGGAGGGGGCCCATCCCCGCGCAGAAGGAAGTTCCATTCTGAGCGATGACCTGCTGGCGCTCGTCTTCACGCACCTTGGTGACTCCGAGGACCGCCACACTGCTGGCCTGACTTGCCGCGCATGGCTGCGCGTGGCCAGCACCCTGGTGGTGCGCAGCCTGCACGTGCTGCGCCCCGGCGTCCTGCCCGCCCTGCCGGCCCGCTTCCCCACCCTCACTGCCCTTGACCTGTCTGCCGCGCGGGCAGTGCCGGAGGATGCCGTGAAGGCCATAGCTGCGGCGTACCAGGGCAGCCTGGTCAGTTTGAGTGTGGCCAACAATAAGGGGCTGGCTGTTTCTGCCCTGCGAGCTATCAGCAACTGCCGCAGCCTCACCTTGCTCGACCTCAGCAACTGCCACCACGACGCCCGCCCCATCACTGACGAGGCCATTGCGCCCCTGGCAGCATGCCGCATGCTGCAGACGCTGCGGCTGGCAGGCTGTCGCGCTGTGACTGACACAGGCCTGGGGGCGCTGGTGCCTGCACTGGGGGCCCTGCGGGAGCTCTCGCTGCGCTGGTGCAGCGGCCTGACTGATGTGGCGCTGGGGGGGGTGGCACGCCACCTGGTCGGCCTGCAGCGCCTGGACCTGGCGTACTGCGCGGTAGGGGATACGGGCCTGGCCGCTGTGGGGCGCCTGCCCGCGCTGGCGGAGCTGGTGCTCGCGTGCTGCTCCTGCATCTCGGACGCGGGCCTGTGCCGCCTGGCGCAGGGCAGCCCCGCGCTGCACAAGCTGGACCTCTCGGGCTGCAAGGGGGTGAGGCCCCCCACCTCCCCCCCCCTTCCCTTCTGGCAGGTGGTAGGGCCGTATCAGAGCACAGCATGGCTGCTCATTGGGCCTGTGCCCTCACCTGTGCATTCTGGCCCCTGAGTTCTCCCTTGTGTGTGCAGATCAGCGAGCGGGGCGTGACATGCTTTGTGGGGCGATGCCTGGGGCTGCGTGAGCTGGTGGTGGCGCATGACGCGCAGCTGCTGCCCCGCGCGCTGCACGCGTACCACCACCTGCAACACCTCCAGGTCAGCCCGCACGCATACCCACCCTCCAACAAGACAGGCATGCCCCCTATACTGCCTGTCCTGGGGGGCAGCTTGGAGAGGGATGGGGGCAAGAGGGGTATTGCTGTCTGAAATTGATTGCCTGCAGTTGGCCCAGGGTGAGGCCCTTCTGGCTGTTTGCGTCGAAGCTGGTATTGATGCTGTTGCTGACATGTTGGGGGAGGCTCAGCGACAGCCCGTACGTAAGCCCCGAGCAGTTTGTAGCAACATGGGCAGATAGCTCTGTGCCTTCAGACATATAATAGGAGGTTGGGGCTGTGTTCGCTCTGTGCACCTTGCAACTCCTTTACAGCGCCATTCGGACCCCGTTGTGAGCCCCCTGCCTGGCTTCTGCAGGTGCTGAACGTGTCGGCCTGCCCCGTCAGCGAGGAGGGCCTCCTCCTGCTAGGTAACCTACCTCCACCCTCAGCCAGCCGCCGTAGTCTGACCCCGCCTCAAAGGCACTCCTCGCTTGCCCTGCCTAGGCTGCAGCTGAGCCCCTCGTTGAGTCTTGTACTGCGTCTGGTGAGGGAGCATCTTGCAAGCTTGTTGGATGAGCCGCATCCGCCTGTGGCCTGGGCCCCTTGAACCCCTGCCTGCTCAGACTGGCCTCTCACCGTTCCTCTGTTGTTGCCCCTTCCAGGTGCAGGGTGCAAGCACCTGACGGTAAGCTGGCCCACCTTCCTCGTGCCATCTGCAGTGTGTCTACCTGCCTGCCTCACTTGGGTGTCCCCTGCTCTTCAGCGGTAGATGCTAGTTCAGAAATTCAGCCAGTAAGCTGGCCAAGGTCATTTGAATGATGGCGCTCATATTAGGAATAGCTAGAGTTTAATAGCAACGTACATCCTGAGAGTTCAATCTAGGCTCTCTGTCTCTTTTAGAAACCTGATATACTGTGCGCATAGAGAGCAAGAACTTGAGATGGCAGACGATCTGATTACCAGGGAGAATGCGAATAAGATGAGATTCAGAGTTGGTCTCAAGAAAGATAGCATAGATAACATCAAGGGTGACAAGAGAGACTTGGACTTGTGTTCGGAGACTGTTGATATACTCGAGGTGGTAGGTAAGGGCAAGACTCAGATCAACCTGCACTTCAAAGAGTGCCTGATGCTGTACAGGAGTAAGGATAGCGACAAGTATGGCAGGGAGTATGTCATAGTGGGTATTCCATGGATATATATGATGCACTGGCCCAGTTAGCTCATGAATCAGGCTACAGAGTCAGCAAGTCGAACAGGGTGTCAAGTAAGAAGGCTGTTGCTTTCAGAACATGACAGTAAGGAACAAAGGCACTGAGGGTGGGGTTGTGACAACCTACAGCGACAAGGAGAAGGAGGAAGTACTTAGTCAGGATATGGACAGCCTGGAAGTAAAATTGAACAATTCAAGAAGTCAACACTTGCTTCCATAGGAGAAACCATTACAAACGCAACATATCCCATTCTCCAGCAGCCTAACCCCCCTGTCTCGCCCTCCTTCCTCAGACTGTTACGCTGTGGCGCTGCCCCGGCGTGACTGACCGGGGCGTGGCTGCGCTGGCCCTCGGCTGCCGCCTGCTCACGGCCCTCGACCTGACGTGCTGCCGCGACGTGTCGGGCGCCAGCTTGCTCGCGCTGGCCGACTTCTGCCCCCACCTCCAGGTGCTGCGCCTGGAGGGCTGCCCCGCCGTCACCCCGGCTGCGCTGCTGGCCCTCGCGCAGCGCTGCCCCGGCCTGCGCCACCTCGACCTCACTGACACCGCCCTTGACGACACCGCCGCGCCCGCCCTCGCAGCGGCCGCCAACCTGCAGGTACGCCTGGCCCTGAGTCGCCCCGCTCCTCTTGCACACACTGGTTGACGTTCTTGAGTCCGGCCGTCGCTATTTAGCGCACATTTGGCGTGGTCCGCAGGTCTACATTGACGCCCGCAAGTTCGAGAGAGGTACTGGTTCCAGCAGTTGGTTGGACTACGAAATCATTGTGCCGATATCATCAGACTCATGATACGTCATTGGCCGTGCGCGAAAAGGGTTCTTAACCGTAGGGGGGCCGGAGCTCAATCCGAGACCACGTTTCCTTTCCGCGGGGTCTGCCTGTCCGCCTGCCCCCTGGCCCTGTTGGGCGGCAGCGCTGCTCGCTCTTATTTTCCATCCTTCTCTTCTCTTTCTTTCCCTGGTCTCTGTTTTCTCTCTTATCTTGCTGCACATCGTTTGCGATTTTTGCACCTTGTTTCGGTCAGCGGTTGCAGCAAGCCTTTTCTTTTTTGCTGATGCTGGTTGGCTCTTTGCAAGGACGTGCACTGAAACTCTGCTCTCACTCTCTTGCCTTGGCGCAGGTGCTGCGGCTGGGGTTCAGCGCGCTGACGAATGCGGGCTTGCTCATCCTAGCGGCCGAGTATGCGCGGCGTGGCGGTTCTGTGCTGGAGGAACTGGACCTGTACAGGTACGGTGTGCCCCGCCCCTGCCTCTGCGCTGCACGCACTGCCTCACCTTCCCTGCTTGCTCTCCTGCACACTCGCATTCTTTCACGACGGCTGCCTCAGCTCTGCCCCGGCTGTGACCTCCGACCCCTTTCCGTCTCCGACCTTCCCTCCCCGCTTGCGCTGCAGGTGCTCTGCGCTGGAGGACGCTGCCCTGGCCGCCCTGCTGCCGCACTGCCCGCGCCTGCGCAAGGCCAACTTCTCCTACTGCCTCCGGCTCTCCGACGCCACGCTGGTGAGTGCATCATCGCACAGCCGGCCATTGTGTGGTCGTATGAGACCACTGCAGCTGTGCACTCGGGGCACACAGCGGCACCGCCTCTGCTGTGGAGCAGGAGCGTCCATGTGGCCTGTGCCTGCTGCCCGCCCCCTCGCTGACTCTGCAGCCCTCTTGCGGCGGCCTTCCGCTGTGGCTCGGCAGGTGACCCCCACCCCCGCGTGGCTCTGGCTGTGTGCAGGCTGCGCTGGCGGGGTGTCCGCTGCTGGACAACCTGGAGATGCGCGGCTGGGCCGGCGTCACGACCGCAGGCCTGGCCCAACTGGCGAGCGGCTGCCCGCGGCTGGCGGAGCTGGACTGCAAGCACGTGGCCCTACAGCCAGACGCGCTGGCGGCCCTGGTGGCGCACTGCCCCACCCTGCGGCAGATACACATGAGCGGCTGTCCCGCCTCTGACGCCACGCTTGCGCCCCTCGCCCAGTGTCACACCTTGCAGGTGAGCCCGTGCCAGGAGCGCATGATCGGCGTAATGCTCGCTAGAGGGTCCGAAGTCATCCTTCTAGAACGACTTGCACTTGTCTGTGTGAGTAGAAGGGGCGTGCATGGACGGTGAGAGGTGCATGGAGTGCATGCCCCCAAGCTAGCCAAAGCACTCTATTAAATCATTTCGTTCTCTTTTATCCATGTCGCTTCAATCTAGTGTCTTCCTTTCTGCAGACAATCAAGATGGTTCAATGCCGGTTTTTGACGAGTCAATGTCTCAAGCCCTTTTTGGCTGGATGTGAGAGCCTTCGCAAGATCAAGCTCGATGCTAGGCTCAGAGCGTGCGTTCCTCACCAAGATGTGGCAGCGCTAGAAGCGCGGCTCTGCTACATCAAGTGGATGCAGAAAGGGGAGGACAAGTAGCAATGCGTTGGGGTGCTTTTGCAATAGTTGTGCTGGGTATTGCTCGAAACAGAGAGCAAAATGCTAGGATAGGTGGACGAGAAAGTTGTGACGTTTGGGTCCGTGAGCTTTCGGCCGGAAACCAGAGGAATTGATTGAAAGCTGAATTTTGTAGCATGTACTTTAAGATGTTGATATAGCCACCGACACATCATCGACATCAAGGGTAAACGTGAGTATCATTCACCACCAACACATCATCGACATCAAGGGTAAACATGAGTATCTGAATGATTGATATGCTAGCACATTCGCCCCATCACAAGATTGATTATGGATCATTAGTCAGGGGTAACCCTAGGGCCGGGTTTGCCACGTTGGACGAACTGTGAAATTTTCATACACAATATACATAGTTACGAAAGGCCAACAAGAGCTTGCCGCTACATGTGCGCAATGCTAAGGACCTCAATACTAAGACTTCACAATTCTAGCATGTCTACCCGATTATTATGGTCACCTACCTCAATCCCGTTGTGGTCGGCTCAAAGATTTGCGCATTGAAATTGATCAAAGTGATCAAAGTGATTTGCAACTTCCTTCCAATGGCCGGAGGTTGGCTTACGCCCTTGCATGGAGAAACTTCATGGATCCCACAAAATTCGGATGGCTTTGAAGAAAAGCAAGCGGGCGCAAATTTATGCCTACAATTACGTACGGCCTGTTGATAGTAGTCTTATTTGATCTTCTCATGATTGCCTGTTGAGATACGCAAATTAGGAAGTGCAAGTCTGTACGCCGTTAGCTTGAGGGTTCAAAACTCAAGAGGCGTCGAATTTCCTTCCAATGATAAGAATTCAATGCTAAGTGGTAATTGCAGTTCGTGGAACGTGAAATGCATGCGGATTACATGATCATGCCCATTGCATGCAAACAACTGCAAGCAATCACCGTCCAAATTAAGTAGGTTCAATGAAAGCGCCTTATCGTATAGATTGCGGATAGTGGTAAATGTTTAAGACCTACTTCATGAACGTTCATTCGAATTGACAATCCTACTAGGTTGACTCGTAGATTTAAAGATAGAAAATGACTCTGGCAAAAACTACAAATGCCGATCGCATATCACACAAACTTGATCATATTCCAATTATCTGCAATGATAATCTGTGGGCCCACTGTGCTAAAGAGGAGGTATCATCCAAAGAGCTTATGTCGCATGGCGTTCCGAGTGTTTATCAATTTATGGCCATTGGGTAGGCAACTGGAATAAAGCCGCAAGGTATGGCCGATAAAGGAAGCTTGTATAGGCACTTGGTAAATACCCGTTATGAATTATCAGCTGATCAGCTTCAAGGAGCGTGCTTGCCACGTGATTGCCAAGCTCGAACAAATTGCCCCAATGATTGAAACGAGAGAGCCTTTGAGCCCGATTCTTTTTAAGCTTGGTGTTGTGATTTTGGGACCAAGCCCTTGAGCAAGGATTGAAGCTGTTCAAGGCAGGATCAATGGTGGGCTGGACTCCGTGCTGAGCGGAAAGTGGAGCAAAGTGAAGATCCACGCGAAAATGAGAGCCGCAGCCGATGGCTCAACTGGTATGATTGCAAAGAATTTGGACACGTTGCCAAAAATGTTGTTACCGGATTAGTGCGGCCCCAGGCGCGGATGGAAACCTTTCCGAATGGACTGACTTTAGCATAGGTGAGGAGAAAATTGCCGACTGACAGTGCCACCACTGGTACGTGTCGAGTGTAGTAGCCACAACTCAACTGGAGTCGAACTTAGCCTTTCGCACGCGAAGTCGTAATTGGACTCCGCGCGATAGATAGACTGAGTTTCGACCCACTTCAGATCCGTATACGATCCCGGAAATCAGATTTTTCCAAAATTGTGGGGTTTGAAGCGCATGAGGAGCTGTGGACCACAATATTTAGTAACCTTTGTTATGACCTATATGGAACCGAAAAACTTGTTCCCCGAGTTGCAACGATTTCAAAAGTGGAATTACTTCAATCGTAATGGAGATCCACTATAAATCTTCGGATCTTTTCCAAGTGATTCGCAGTAACTTATGAAGCTACCCGAAGAACCCTTCCTAAGATCTTGATAAAATGAACTTCAGGCCATCGTTTCCCGATCAATTACGACTCGCGGATAGAATCATAGAGTTGTGTGTGAACGTTAAAAGATAGCCCCTCACTTGGACGTGCATGGCAAGCCCAACAGCTTGATAGCAACAAGCTTATGCCTTTTTCATACCCTCGAGATGTTGGGTAGGAGTGGGCCAAAGTCCATATTCGAGAATGAAGTTACTCTATGGCAAATGCAGCGGCTAATCTAAGTATATGTGCATGTGTGCATTGTTATCGAAACGAGCCTCTTTGCAGACCACTTTCTAAGTTGTCCACCATTGAGGGACTCAGGCTCCACAATATCCTCTCATTATCCTGTCGCCCTCGTCATATTGAATTCATTGAGGTCGCTAGATACGGTCTATTTGCGGCCTTCGCCGAATTGACAATCATGGAGACAATGACTCAGTAATTTGACGCGCTACCACTAAAGTCACATTAGCGCCAATGTTACCCAAGTGGTTGCGTGTCCAACTCAACAAATGTTTAGACCCGATTGATGTCACGACGACGCCATTGGCCGGCCGGGGAGGCTGAGTGACCTGGTTCGAATCGTAGTCTGAGACAATTTTGACGGCACTGCGCGAAGAGGATGCTTGTGTGGCATAAAACGAGTCCCAAGGTAGGGCGCCAATTACTAATAGGTCGTAGTGAGGGGACCAATTGGCAGCGTGTAAAACTTAACAAAATGTATAGACGAGGATTACGTCACAAAGACGTCACTTGCCGGCCGAGTGGGCCTTCGAATCCATGGCATCCAAGTGAAACAGATTGGACGGCTTCGCGCAAAAAGGTTGCCTATGTGGCGTAGAACGTGATTCTTGAGCGGGTGCGCCAGTTAAGGCTCGTAACGAGACGAGCCTCAAAAGAATGATGTCCGGAAAATTCGGTCCACACATTCTGTCGAGTTTGACGCCCTACCATTCGGTTATACAGGCGCCCATGTAAACGAGTGGTAGTGCGTCAAACTTGACGATGACCTTCTTGTGGACGCCTCTCTCTAAGCGCCTGGTATTCCATGAAGTCCATCTTCAACTACACAAAGGCACATTGCTTCTTTATCTATCCAACCTTTGTCTCTGGTGCGTGCGGCTTGTCTAGATCCGCTCATACCCTCATGTGCCTTGTTGAAACTCATGGTGAGGGACTCGTAGTGAAGTTGTTACTCGTCATTGCGTCTGATACCGTGCTGCCCGGCACCCATACTCAGCTCTCATTGATGGCAGCTATGCATTTTAAAAGGAACACACGAAGCGCCTGACGAGCGGCTTCCTTTCCCACAACCTTCTTTTGGAATGATGTGTCAGAATAGTGTTTCTCTCCACATTGTCTCACGGATCTCTTGTTGAAAGCAAGCGCCTTAGAGCGCGTTTCAAGTCAAGCACAACTACTAGGAATGAGTGACCAATACAAGTCCATGGTCCAAATCATAAATCCGTGGCTAGGTCTACTTGGTCGAGTCCAACTCTAGCTCTATGTGAGTCAACTCAAACATCAACGGCCTAGCCTCCAAGATTCCACAAAGATGCTTATCTAACGGTCCACACTGGCCTAGGGAGTAACTACCACTAGTGGGGGTAACTGCCGGTGGGGGTAAATGCCAGGGGGTTATTGCCAGTGGGGTAGTTGCCAAGGGGTAATTGCCAGGGGGTAATTACCACTCTATCAAACTTAATGAAACGGCTACGAAATCATCTAGGATCTTAGGGCGTACTCACACAATAGTAGTACTACCTAAATCCAACATCTCTTCCGTTCCATTAGGCTCACTAGCCTACTAGGCTTACAAGTCTAAGTCACACACTACTAGCCTCACTAGCTTAGATCGATCACCGTCACACTCAATCTTTAGCCATTGATATCCTCACGGCATACACTGACGGTCCTCTCAACCGCCTAAACTCCAAAGTGCCTAACCGCCGTACAAAGACGCCGACGCTCACTATTTCAAACCCTAAATCAGTCAAACCCTAATCAAACAATAATTCGACTGAACTAAATCACCGGTTTCTGACATATACCACGTTTTATTGCACCGCCACTAAGCCTCTTAGAGGGATCTATAGGGGTGCATCGAGGGTCCGGTATAAAGTGTAATTGGTCGTCACGTATTGAACCCCTTCCGCGCACACCGCCTTTAGCAGAATTGAGACTTCAAGCATTTTCTAGATTGAATCTACCCCTTTCAATTGCCGAATGGCCCATTCGGCCATTCTGCTTGTCCGAAAACGGGCGGTCGTCGCATCCACCGTCTGCGTGCCTCCGAACACAACATCGCTAGCCGTGGGGGCTTTGGCGCACTACACGAGCGCCCTGATCAAGGCGCACTAGTTGGCAGCGCTTGGGATGGTGCGTTAATTTGCAGGAATTTCAGGAGGCATAATCATCTTTAGAAGAAGCGACGAGGTCCTCAAGACGTTCTGCTCGTTGCCAACCATGCATGGAACGTCGAGAGAAGGCGCTCTACAACGGGTACGTCTCTTTGATGTACGGGGGAGCGGTGGGTTGATTTGGCCGTTTTCAAACGGAGGTGTCCGCATCGATAGTCGAGAGGTTGTTGAGATACGGGCATTTAGGGACCGAATTTCCGGGTGATTCTAGGGTTTTAGGATCACGACGTCGACGGTAATTCGACGGTAATTATAGTTACGGTCACACGGTTAACTGCGCGCGGATTACAACGTTACACCCGAATGACTTGGCGATAACCATCGATACTGTGTAGGTTCGATGATAGTCGTCGATGTACGGTTTAGAGTGAATTTTTCGGACTTACTAGATGACGGTCCACTGAGCCTACTAGGCTAGGGTGTAGACCTAGAGATAGGCCGTGACTCGGAACACTGTATATACATTGT